AGTGGAGTAGGCTCCAATGGCAGGGTATCACAGGGAGTCACGGTAACACGGGGGGCGGGAGGGTCGAAAAAATGGTTAGATCCTAGGGGTGGGGCAAAGGGAGGGGAGTTGAACGGCCCTAAGGAGCCCGTACTCCTGCCGAACAACTGGGGACTCACTTTATGGCACGCTCGCTTGACTGCTTGACGTGTAGTTGGCGTGGGCGGTGAAGGGCTTGCGACGAACTTGACACCGGCAACGAGACGTGGAGCAGACGAGAAGGCGACCAACGGCAGTGATGAGCCGAACTGCTTGGGAAAGAGGGGGGTTCTGATCTGGGGGCGTGGAACGAGGCGGAAGAGAAACCACCACGAAGCCCTCCGTACACACTGCTTGGTTGGAGTCGGGGTTTCTGAATGGATAAACATTTCCCTTGGGGGAAATGGTCTGCTTTGATCTACTGATCAAGAGGAAAATCTGCATTGGGTGTTGAGACTGACAATTGATTACTCCAGCCAGCCTGGGTCTGCTTAGGATGAATGCGTGTCTGCGTTATCTGAAGGCAGCGAGAAAAGAACTGCTTTGATTTGCAATGAACGTACGGGGACGGCGGCGGTGCGCTCACGTCAGCCCGATAACATCCAAAGCAAAAACAAAGCAGACTTACTCGCTGTACTCCAGCTGCTTCATCGACTTGGTGGACTGGCTGCGTATGCTTCGAGACCGCGAAGCACACGCACCTTCCTGTAGATCTGCATCGGGTTGCCGTCCGTGCGTGGAGCGTCGAGCCGCGTGAAGCATGGATGACAACAATCTGCTTTGGGGGAGTCCGAAAAAACTTGTTCGATACAAGCACCGAACAAGTCCTGCTTGGATACTCAAAAAGAAAAATCTGCTTTTGTGTGCACAGCACAAAGCAAAAGTAAAAAGTTCTGCTTTAGGCAACTGCCTAGTGAAATGAAGTCTGCACGGGGGCTAGCAAGCTAGCTGCGAAAGAAATATGAAAAAGGATTAGCGAACTGAAAGTACAGAAATGCATTGCATTCGCGCAACATCATGGGCTTTAAAAAGACCCAATCTGTTTACGCGATGTGAGAGCGCGCAGTAAAGTCTGAAGTATTCGAAATTCTAATCCGCGGCAGCATAATGCTTTGCCATAGGCATGGCCAGCGGAAAAGAAAACGAAAACCTCAAACTCCACCGCGAACTATCTGCCTTTAGCGCCGAAGCGTAAAGCAGAATGCTCACGTGCAAAGCAAAACTGACTTACAAATCGTATCCTCCTCGTCGGTTTTGAAGACGAGTCCCTCCCTGCTTGCGTCAGCGCCGCACACGTCGTCATCCTGCCACGGAGAGGGCGCAGCTTGAGCGGCGGCATGCTTCGGCGGGCGCGTGAGGCGGACGAGGGCACGGCTGATGAGTCGGCGGCGATGAACTGCGCATTTCTGGGCTAGTGTGCGGCTGCACTTTTTTGTAAAAAAGGGGCAAAAGAAAGTCTGATTTGTGTGCAAATTGCACTTTTTTTTTTTTTGAAAGAAAAATTCAAAAGAAAAGTCTGGTCGGCGTGCAATTCGCACTTTTTACGAGAATAAACAAAAGAAAATTCTGCTTTGAGGGAAAACCTAAAAGTTTTGCTGAATTGTATCGGCTTGACCAAGCTGATGGCGATGTGCAAGCACAAAGACCGATTTGCCTGGGTATAGCTTCAACAAACAGCTAAAAACTCTGATCTGCTGCGCGTAAAAAACAAAACCGAGGTTTTGTTCTGGCTGGCGATGAGGCAATCTCAAAGCAAAAGGTCTGATTTGAAGAAAAATCTTCGTAAATTAGGGTCTGGATGGGAATTTTCCCAGGGGAAGATGAAAGTCTGCTTTGTAAAGCAAAGTCACTCGTTGGCGAGCGTCTGCCTTCATCGCTGGTCGTGGCTGCAGTTGATCAGGCCGCGGCTTGACGAGATCTGAAGCGAGCATCTGCCGAGGAGTAGACATCTGGGTTAATCTAAAGAAAGAAAGTTTGTCTCGATAAACGAGCGCAAACTTCTGCTTTATTTCGGCGCTGATTGCGCGGATGACTGCATGAATATAGCAGCCAACCGGCAATCAAAGCGCCTTTTGCGAGCGTGCACGGGGCAAGCGCTCGGCTGGAAATCTGCTTTGAAGTGAAAACAATTGCTCAAAAACGAGCAATTCTGCTTTGGGGTGATGGAAGAAATCTGCTTTCGCTAAAAGGTTTTGTACGAGGAACCGTTGTTTTAGGATTTGGAAAAGAAATTTTGAATTCTGAGCTAACTGGGATGTTTGCGAAGTAAATCGTACAACACCAGCGCGCTTTTGAACCCAAAATTTAGACAAAAAATGGTAAACGAAAGAGAAAAAACGGATCAACGTACAAAATACCTTTTGCGAATCCATCGGCGAGCTTGTCCGGCGCTTGCGCAACCTTCTTCGCTTCTGGTGCTGGAGTTTCGACCATCTGCTCGGCAGCTTCGGCGCTTCTTCGTCGTATTGTTCGTCCCAAAACGTCCGGCCGGTCGAAATGAAGACTGCTTTCGAACAAGAAGGGCTTGAGACTGCTTTTGCAAAATAATACAAGTTTTTTCCGCTCTAAAAGAGCTCAAAAACTTCTGCTTTTTTACTAAAAAGGGGAAGTCTGCTTGAAAATAAAGGCAAAAAAGTCTGCTTGGGTGAGAAATGATGCGAAAAGTCGCACTGGAACAGCGAAAGCTAACCGCAACGGCTTTCTCAAGGCCGAGGGTCTGCAATCGCCTCTAGAAAATTTCAAAACTGACCAAATTGGTGAGATCTGGGCCTGTTCCTCGATGAGCGCGCATTCCACCGAGGGCCGGCCCGTCGCTGCCGTCTTGGTCGGCACGAAAACTCGGAAACTTCCTTCCTAGGTGAAATGCTGCAGCCGTGTAAAAACTAAAAAAGAAAATTAGACTGGGTTGGCCAAATGGCGAAGAGGATCTGGCTGCGGACCGAAATCCGGTGAATGGGCAAGCCCAAAAACACAAAAGTGCCTGCTTTTTTGCGTTTAGCACAGAGCTATAAACGCTATTCTGCTTTGTCTGCTTTCCCCCGATAGTTTCCTATCAGTCTGGCTTTGGAATTGAAGATTTCTGACAAGACATCCTTCTTCTTCTGGAATTTGCCATCGCCTGAGGTACAGCAAATACTTCTCCTCCTGGCCTCGCAGATTTCTGCAACAGCTACGGGCGGACGTCAGGGGGTCCTGCTCCCGCTTTTCGCGCCGCATTTTGCGAACGCTATCCATGGATCACTGCCAGTGTTCCAAACGAGGGACTAGAGTGGTGAATAACATCAAAAAAGATGTTAGACTCATCGCCGGCAATGCCGAACCGTGAGAAGTGTCGGGATCGTGTACTTTGATCAACCGACTTTTCGCTTTCCCAAAGGTCTGGGGGCCGTTGTGCACACGGCTAAATGAAGAAAAAGGTCTGCCTTACACCGAAGTGTCTCCGGAACCGTCTGCTTAACTTACCAAGAGGTTTTCTGGGTTAAACGGCAAATGCAAAGAAGACCCGGTTGAACCCGGCCGACGCACCATGACGAAAGCTAGCGGCTCCCCGCATTATCCAGGAATAAATCCCGGAATAATGCCCACGCGAGGGGTTTGCCACCCGCTAACCTTGTTGAAGGAAAGACTGCACCAAAAGAACGCGCGATCGGCTTATCAGCAGTAGTATAAGATGCATTTCCCGAATAGCCTGGACACTCTTGTTGAATAAGAGTTTATTAGTACACGATAAGGACACGGATACCGGATGTCTGGATTGGGCGAGCCAAGGGAAAGGTCTGGGCAAAGTGAATGCGGGTAGAGCTCTGGGTTGGTATGAATACGGGGCACTCTGGGTAAGGGAGCTCGCCGGGGTCACCGGTATCAGGGATGCAGGACACATCACACCAACACCGAATCGCCCTACCAGTCATAGAAATGACCGGCAGCATTTCTCCCAGTTTGGGAGAAAATGCAACGACTGGGGAAAATGATCCCTTTCCCCGGGCCGAGGGCGGCCGCCATACGGTGACCCACAGGGGGGCGCGCGCCGGGACCCAGGGAGAATTTGGCCGCCCGCCAAGTCCGCCTAATTAAACCTCGTAAGTCCTGTAGAATCGTAAGATTTCTACAGAACTTTCGACAGGCAGAGATTATTGAGGAATCGGCGAACTGGCTAGCAGAGATTCTTCGGGAATATCTGGGGGTAGCCAGCTAGCAGAAAGAATTTAGAAAAAGGGCCGACTAGCAGAGAGTATTGAGGGATTTACGGGGTGGCTAGCAGAGAACTTTGAGGAATTGGGGGCTGGTTAGCAGAGGCTTTTTGGGAATCGATGGCTAGCAGAAAGAATTTGAGGAAAAAGGCAAGCTAGCAGAAAGTTACGAAAAGGGCCAGATAGCAGAGATTTTTTGGGAATTTCGGTTTTTGAATTTTTTGGATGCTTTTCAAGGTTTGTTCGATTACGCCAGATAATTCCTGGTGTAATTAGATGTCGTAATCTATTAATCAGGAATCGGGCTGGCTAGCAGAGATTCTTGAGGAATTTGCGAGGCAGCTAACAGAGGTCATTTGCGGAAAAGAGCAATCCCGCAGAGTTTATTCGATTACACCAGCTAATTCGAACAGAATTAGCTAGCGTAATTGTTTGTCCCGGGGCGACTGGAAAGCAGAGATTTTCGAGGAATTTTCTGGGTGGCTAGCAGAGACCATTCGCGGAAAAGAACAGCCAGCCAGCAGAGAAAATTTAGGAAACTTCTGCAATCTGGGCAGGCTAGCAGAGACCATTTAGGATCGAAATTTCCTCTCAAAAATCCCTTTTTTTAGGCTCCTCCCCAACAACGCCCTCCCGCGGGCTACGGGATGCCCCCAGCCAACCCGTACGCAAATCCGTACGGAGGATACGGAGGCCCACAACCGGGAGTGGGATACGGTGGAATGGGACCCCCAAGGGGATATCCACCACCACAACATCTACAACAACAATATCAACAACAATATAGCGGAGATGGACATGGAGGCGGAGCAGTACAATATCCAATACAGTATCCACAACAACAACAAACGGCGAATGTGGCCGGGGGACAGCAACAGGTGAGCGGGGATCGCTATTAATGTGTTAACTGACTGACAGGCAGCCGGGAAATTGTAAAATTGATTTCCGCAAAGTGTGTTTGCTCGATTGCCTGAGTTTTTTTGGCTGATTTTGAGCGAGAATTGCGCAATTTTTCCGATTGCGTCTCTTGTCGTCTATCTCTCTCTCTCCTCCCCCTCTGTCCCTATATCTCTTCCTCTCGTTCTAGATTTAACTTCCATTTCAAATTCCTCCAAAACTCCTCAAAAACCCTGAAAAATCTTAAAACCCGATTTCCAGCCCCAAATGCCGTCCAGCCAACCTACTACCTCCAGCGATCCTCAACAACATTTTGTCGCCCATGGACATCCAAATCCATATGCACCAATGGCACCCCCACATCCACATCCCGCATATAGTGCACAGGTGAAAGAGAGAGAGAGAGCGAGGGAGAGAGTGAGGAAGAAAGAGAGAGTGAGAGAGAGAGAGCTAGAGAGAGAGAGGAGAGAGAGAGAAATCTGAGACAGATAGAATCGGAGAGAGAGGGGAGAGAGAGAGAGAGAGAGAGAGAGAGAGAGAGAGAGAGCGAGAGAGAGAATGGCAAATTAACCAACCTGCGCTTCTAGATGATGCAACAGGCCCAAATGGAGATGGGCCAACTCCAGCAACGTCTTCATACCCTCTATCAACAGCCACGGACACCTATGATTGAACAGGAAATACATTCCTACGAAAAGAGGGCACAATATCTACAGGTAACGGAGGATTCAGAATTACCTTGCGTAACCGGATAAACCCGCATAATCCTCGTAATGGAAGATTCGAAACTTTTTTCACCAGATTTTTTCAGAGCCAACTGCACGCCGCCGTCCCTCCCCAAACAGCCCCCAATCCCTATATGCAAGGGCCACCAGGGGGAGGAGGAGGAGGACCACAACAAGGAGCAGGAGGACAACAACCTGGAATGGGAGGACAACAACAACATGGAGGAGGACAGAGACCGGTTGAAGTGTCACAGAGCGGAAATGGACCCATACAGGTAGGTGGAGAAGTCAATCCATCAATCCGAATCCTCGGAAAAGGGCAATCTAGCAGAGGTCATTTGGGGACTAGGTAAAACGCATGTCAGACTGATGGAATTTGGGAACGCAGACTAGCAGAGACTTTTTGGGAAGCTTTCTAGCCCGAGAAACGACTCAAATTGGCCCATTTGGCTGACGGTCGGTCTGAAAAATTCGGGCGGGGCGGGCTAGGAGAGCATTTGGGGAATGGATATACTGCCTGACAGTTAGTTGAAACACAAAAACTAGAAGGCCAGCAAAGACACTTTGCGGAACTTACGCCCAGTTTCAGGTGAACATCAAGCCGGATGCGCCAGGACGGACCCTCATCTCCGTCTACCACCACAACTACCCGGAAGGCCAACCCCCACCGGGTGGAGCATTCGGATCTCCAAAAGACTCTGTCCCTCCCGAACCTGTCCCCTCTACAAGAACAACACCGCCACAAATACCACAACATATCAATGGACATTCATATCAACAACAACAGGTACGTCGGAATATTCCACAAATGGTCTTCGCTAGCCTGAAACCTGCTAGAATCTGCAAACTGGTTGCCATTTAGCCTAAAAATCTTGAAGAAACTCAGCTAGCTCGCCTCTTGAATTAACTGGCGTAATCGGTTGTGTAAAATCGGGAAATTCGGCCGTTTTTCGGATTTTTCATGTGGTTGCGAGCTTGACACCGGCTGGATTTCTCAAACTGGCTGTCAGTTAATCTGAAAATTTCTAAGAAACCCGGCTAGCTTGTTTTTGAATTAACTAGCGTAAGCGATTGGCTTGAGAGCTCAAAATCGCCATTTTCGCATTTTTTGGTTGTTTCTTTTTTGCCTGGCAGGCTAGCAGGGATTTTTGGGGAATCGCGTAGCCACAAGACGGCAAGCTAACAGAGAAAATTTGCGAACAAAAATGCAAAAAATGTTTATATTTTTCCGAAAAAAATTAAATAGTTTGAGCTCTAAAATGGCCCATTTTCCATTTTTCAAAAAAAAAATATTGCATTTTCCAGGTGCCTCCCCACCACCATCCAGCGCCATCTCAACCCCCGGCCGCATTGCCACATCAGAATGCCTATTCTGTGCCCCCATCTACCGTATCCCACCCCATTCCACCCCCTCCTTCCGCTTCTTCTTCTTCTTCTCAACAAATGATGGCCCCTCCACCAATTATCGTCAAAACAGAACCCCCTCCACAACAACAACAAATTCCGGTCAATCAGGTGAGTGTCCCTCTGCCTTGAAAATGGAGGGCAGGCCAGCAGGGATCATTGGGGAATTTTAAAGGGAGTGTGACAGCCAGAAATTTTTCGAGACGGCGGCTGCTGGCAAAAATTCTAGAGGAAATTAAAGGGTGGGTGACAGATAGTGATTTCCTTGAATTGGGGCAGCTCACAGAGAATCTTTAAGGCTTCTAAAGAAACCTGAACGCCAATTTTTCCCAAATTTCCTCCACGAATTCGTATTTTTTGAAAGTACAGTACCCGCCTAAATTTCCTTTTTTAGACGATAAAAACGGAGCCTCAACACGACCCGGATGCGACACCCCCAATGAGAAATGGAATGGGAGAAGAGGAGAGGGAAGAGAGAGACCAGAGAGAAGAGGGAAAGGGAGAGCCAGCAGAGACAATTGGGGAACAACCGGCTGAAGAGGAAGAAGAGGTGAAGATCCATTCGATAAGCCCCCTCGTGCTCCCCATCCACAATCACCGCCACGGGAAGAGGAGGAAGAGGAGCAGCAACTTCAACAGGTACGGGCAGATTGGACTTTTGCGCAATAAATCGCAAATTGTCACTGCTAGCCTGCCTAGAGTTGAAATCGTCGAGATTGGATGGCAGTTAAGAACTTCATGCCCAAATTTTTTTTAAATGTTGACTGCTAGCTTGTCACGCGTTTTTCGGGGAATCTGGGTGGCAGATCGGACTTTTCGAGCAAAAAATCGTAAAATGGTCTCTGCTAGCCTGCCTAGTAGGAATTTGGGCAGGCCGGATGACAGTCAGAAATTTCCCGCAAAGAATCCCTGCTAGTTGGCCTTCTTAAAAAATTTTTGGGACTTTTAGAGCTCGATTTCTGACGAGCAGCCGAAGCCTTCGCCCTCATCAACAACTGCCGTCTGTCCAGAAGAACCGGAAAGAATCCGGGAAAATGGCAATCATACGGTACGTATATTCCGCAAATTATCACTGCTAGCCTGCCTCCCTTGCTTCAGAATTACCTCGTGTAATCAAATATTTTTTCTGTCGCTCTTCCTTTAAATCCGCGGCTGTTTCCGCAAATTTCCTCTGCTAGTCTGCCCCCTTGCCATACAACTAAAATAATACAACATTTTCAGGAAGAAACAGACGCCATTCCGGAAGAAATTCCCGTGAAGACGGAAACGCCAACGATCGAGGAAGAGGAGCCGGAAAAGAAGCCTGAACGGCCGGAAGTACCTCAAGAAGCTGAAGACGTTCAAGCTGAAGCCGCCGAAGAGGCAGCGGAACCGGAAAAAGAAGCTGAGCAACCGAAAGAATCGGAAATTCCGGAACCAGAAACACTGAAAGAACCGAGCCCGGAACCTGAAGCCGAAGCCGAAATGCCTGAAGCGGAAGTGAAAGAAGAGGAGGAAATGCTTGCTTCTTCCGGAATTCCGGAACCGGAAGAACCGGAAAAACAAGTGGAAGAAGAAACGGCTGAAGTAAAGCAAGAGGTAGACATTTTAAATGGCTTAAGAAGCCAAAAGCTACCGTAACCTTCTCTAAATTAGGTTGAGTTTAACAATTTTTGTATTCTACAGGATCGATTTTATAAGGGTTTTCCAATGGTATATTTCACGTTTTTCTACGTGGACGTACTGAGGAGTTACGGGAAGATCCAGAAACCGATTACGCCATGTAAATCCATTTTTGTTTTTAGGAGCCGCAGGTCTTTGAGGAACCGGAAAAGGAAGCCACTCCCGCCCCGGCGATTCCCGTAATTGAGGAAGAGCTCGTGAAGGAAGAGCCGGAAGCCGAGGCAGTTCCGGAGACAGTTCCGGAAGTTCCGGAAGTCGAAGAGGCTGAGGTCGACGAGAAGCCGGCTGCTGCTGAAAAGGCCGAGGCCAACGAGGAGGCCATTGAGGATGAGGAGGAGGTCTGTTTTTCTTCTGTCACTGCCCCTTTAAAGTTTTCGGCTCCGCAAAGAATCGCTGCTAGCCTGCCCTGCTACTCGTTATAGGATCTGGAAAGGCCAAATCCTTGGGTCGTCTAATCCGCAGTTTTGTGGAATTTTCTAGCTGGTCACCATCCCTTTAGAGGGTCAAATATTCCTTGCTAGCCAGCCAAATTTCCCCAATGGCCTCGGCTTGCTGGTCTCCATTTCTAGCTGTCTCAGCCGCTATAAATAATTTTAAGCTTTTTAAGGGGCCCTGGAAGACAAAATTTTTTGGCATTTTCTGGATTTTCAAGCTGTCACACCCCCTTTAAACCGTCCATTTTCAGGGAACCTCCGAGCCAACCGTCGCTGAAGAAGATGAGGTCGAAGATGAAGCGGAAGAAGCGGTAGATGATGAGGAAGAAGAGCCAGAAGAACAACTCCCAAAGCCCAAGACCAAAAACACTCCCAAAATCAAGCTGGGCAGCCAGAAAAAGGCCTCCACGTCTGCGGCGTCAACTTCGAGGAGTTCAGCGAAAAAAAAGAAGGAGCCGGTGTATGTGGATGATTGGGATGATGACGATGAACCATACGAGACAAGGTGAGTGGAATTTACAAAATTGAAAATTCAATTAAATGTTTGAAAAATGTTGTATTTTTAATTTACAAGTTATTTTCTGTTCGTTTTTTGCCAAAACATTTTTTATATTAACAAGTTGGATGCCAGTTAGCCTGATTTCCCTCAAAAACCCCGCTAGCCTGCCTGGAAATACCTGTCGTAATCGGTTATTCGAGGCTTCCAAAAAGATGAGTTTACAAGAGATTATCGATTTTTTGTGTGGTTTTTTTAAAAGTCGTTTTTACCGTTAAATTGGATGCCAGTTTGCCCAATTTTTTCTAAAAATCCCCGCTAGCACGTCACAGACAGAAATAACTATCGTAATCATTTAGCCCACAAATTTTCGAAAAATCCCGATTTTTTTGGATTTTTTCCAAATTTGGCTACCCGGGACTCCAAATGACGCCTTGTCCGTCTCAGGCTTTAGAATTTCCGGTGCAGGTGTACGGTAGAGTGAGGTGGGAGCCAAATCCGGGGGTGGACCCTCTAATCTGGGCCCTTTTCCCCTCGAAAAGCGCTCATATTTGGGGGCCAAAATCTCCCGCTGTCTCTCTGACTGTATGTTGTCTCTCTCTGACACACAGTCTCTCGCTTCATTCTCTCTAATTCCATCCCGCAAAATCGTTCCAAAAGTAGCCGGTGGTCTTTGCTTGTTGCCGGGGGGACCGTTTTGGAGGTCTTTCTCCCCTTTCTCTCTCGCTCTCTCTCTCTCGCCTCTTTTTGAGGGGATGAGCCCCGGAGAGGGCCAATTGTCGCCTCCCACAACTCCAAATTTCGTAAATTCTTGAAACTCGGTTACTAGAAATTAAGTCTATTTTTATAAATTCGCTAAATGCTTCTCATCGACGACCGCCACGATCTGATCAGGCATGGTTTTTTTGGATTTATGACGTTTTCTAAACCGGTTTTTGCAAATTTTGCGGCGCCAGTCCTTTTCTGGCACCCAATAAACACTGCTAGTTTGGCAAAAAAATTTTTATTACAAATATTTTAAATTTTATTAAACGTTAAATAGGTACTGGTATGCAAATTATCGACTTTCCAAATTTTTTGAATTTTTGTAGTTTTTCTACGCCGATTTTTGCAAGTTTCTGTGTTCCAATCCCTTTTCTGGTATCCAATAAACCGCGCTAGTTTGCCCGAAAAAATTTTTGAGTTGAAAAACAAAGTTTTGATGGATTTGGATGCAAGATCCCCCAAAATGCAAAAAATTTTTTGCAAATTTCCAAGCGCCGATCCCTTTTCTGGCACCCAATAAACACTGCTAGATTGCCCAGGGAAACCTAATAATTGTCAAAAAAATTTTTAGAAACAAAAATATTGGTTCTTTTAAAAATTAAAAAAAACGTGAATTTTGATATATTTGAAGCGCAACGAAGAAGCGATTTCAAAACGTTGGAAATAAAGGAAATAAAAACCAAGATTGAAGAGTTACAAAAGCAAACAATTTTCAAAAATTAAAAAAAACTATTGTAAATTTTAGCGCAAAGAAGAAGCGAGCGGCAACGTCGGCGAAGAAAAAGGCGGCCAAAAAGCAGCAGGCATTAATAGATTATGGAGAAGAATATGGGGATGAAGATGGAATACCCCCAGAATTATTGATGGATGATAAGAGAAGGTCGGGAAGGAGACAGACAACCACTACAAAGACATACACTGAACCATCCATCCACGAATTCGACGAGTTCATCATTCCTGGTGGGTTTTGGCTGTTTTTGTGTGTCACGGCGCCTTTAAAACACGCGAAAATCCCGATTTTCTGACGTTTCTAGCTGTCATACACCCTTTAAAATCCCGAAAAATCTCGGATTTTCTCGAAATTTCTAGCTGCTACCCATCTGCAAAATCCCGCCAAAATTGCCGCTTTTTCGCCAGATTTCGAGCTGTCGCACCACCTTTAAAACCCAAAAAAATTCCGGTTTTTTCCTAATTTCCAGCTGTCACCGTCCCTTTAAAATAGGCTAAAAAGCCACAATTTTGGGGCCCGTTTAGCGGCCAGACTACCTTGAAAATGCCACAAAAATTCAATTTTCTCAAAAAAAACAATAAGATGCCTGGTTTGCAGACAGCGAAGGGGGTACACCAACTGGAGATGAGGATGATGAAGATCTTCCACCTGCTGTACATATGCCGGCCGTTGTCGAGAAGGTTGGTATCTTACTGTCTCTCGCTCTCTCCCACTCTCCTCTCTCCTGCTCTCCCCCTCTCGCTCTCACTCTCTCTCTCGCTCTCACTCCCACTCTCCTCTCTCTCCCTCTCTCTCTTCTCACTCTCCGTCTCTCGCTCTCTCTCTCTCTCTCTCTCTCTCTCTCTCTCTCTCTCTGCCGCTCTCTATTTCCTTTTCCTGGCGTAATCGATTACGATGTCTGTCCAACCGGCAAGCGTCGCGTGCGCGTCGCGTGTAGCTACCCCGGCAGATCCATAGCCATGCCTTGACAACCCCTTTAAACCCCCTCTTCCAGATCCTTGCCATGCGCAGTGAGGGTGGTGAGGAAAGCGAAGAGGAATTCTACGTCAAATGGAAGGGCCGAGCCCACATGCACTGCGAGTGGAAGACTGCCGTACGTTTTTACGCTAAGATTTTTAGTGTTCACCAATTCAACAAAAATTTACTGAAAATAGCTAAACTGGCAGGTAGGCTAGCAAAAAACGTCTGTGGAATTTTTTTTGGGCCATTCATTTTCGACAAAATTTTGATTTTTTTAATTTTTTGAAAATTTCTAGTTTTGTAATCGATTAAGGTCGAGACTCAAGCTCTAATTTTAAAAGTTGTAGATTTGGGATAGAATTCTGTCTATCTATTTTTCTATCGTCTTTTTCCTAAAAAACCGGGCCGTCATCCTTAGCTCAATCAGTAGAGCGTCGGTCTCTCAATCTGAGGGTCAAGGGTTCGAGTCTCTTCCTGGTTAAATCTTTTTGCTTTTTTGGCCAAGAATGACTTTATAACATCCCATAATTGTTTGAATTACAGGCACAACTGGAAGAAATCGACAAACGAGTCTCGGCCAAATTGAAGCGATACAAACAGAAGAGGGCGGCAGGAATCGAGGATGAAGAATTGAATGAGGATTATCTGGTTGTGGAGAGGGTATTGGCTCTGGATACACAGGATGATGGGGATGAATATGCGCTTGTCAAGTGGAAGAGTCTACCGTATGATGAGGTGAGGAAATGGGTTTTTTAAGTTTTTTTGGGGTCGACTTTGGACCTTTAAACCTTCAGTTCTAAGCTTGTATTATTATTTTAAATATATCGAAAATTATCTGGTAGTCAGTTTACAATATTCTGGACATGAAAACCAAAAAGTAAAAAGTCGGCCGCGCCCGGGAGTCGAACCCGGGTCATTCGCCTGATGCCAAAATGCGTTTAAATCGGTTTATTTCACGCCTAAATTCAATTTAAAGTTGGGAAAATGGTAATTGCTAGCCAGTTTATCGCATTTGAATGCGAAATCGCAAAACGCAATAACCTTTGCCGCGGCGGGGAGTCGAACCCGGGCCATTCGCCTGATAAAAATTTTTTAATAACAATTTCCAAAATTTTCAGGTAACATGGGAGCCCCTATCTACCGTACCCACCGAAAAAGTGGAACAATGGGAACGATGGCAAAAGATAGACAAGGCAAAGAGTCGAGACAAAGATAGACCGGCAGTCAGCCAATGGAAGAAACTGCCGGCGGATATTGAATGGAAAGGAGGCAATCGATTGAGGGAATATCAATTCGATGGCGTCAACTGGCTGACGTATTGTTATTATCATCAACAGAATTGTATTCTGGCTGATGAAATGGGACTCGGAAAGACGGTACGTTGCGGAGATCATTGAGGAGCCTTGGGGAGGGCTAGCCGAGGTTTTTGTGGACGATTTTGAGCTAGTCCTCTAACTGGCATCTATGCTGCGAAATACAAAGCTAGACAAGCTAGCAGTGACACTTTGCAGAAATTATCGAACAAAAGTCCGATCTGCCACCCAGAACCCAAAACCTGGATTTGGCAAGCTAGCAGTGGCCATTTGTGGAAATTTTTGGTTCGAATCCGCTAACTGGCATTCATTATCCACAAATGGAAAGCGGGGCAGGCTCGCAGCGACACTTTGCGGAAATTATCAAACAAAAGTCCGATCTGCCCTCCACAAATCCTTTATTTTGCAGGTGCAAACGATCACGTTCCTGTCTCGTGTCTACGAGTACGGTATCCATGGCCCATTCCTAATTGTCGTCCCCCTATCCACAATCCACAATTGGGTCCGAGAATTCGAGACGTGGACTGATATGAATGCTGTTGTCTATCATGGATCCGCTGCAGGGAGACAGGTAATGCATTACGATAGTTATTCCAGGGTAGCTAGCAAGGATTCATTGAAGTAATTGTGTTAGCTGGTATCCAGTTTAAGCCTAAAACAAAAAGCAAAAATTTGCCGCGGCGGGAAGTCGAACCCGGGTCCTCCGCGTGTGGGCCAAACGACTTACTGGACTATGCCTTTTTTAACGGTTTCCGCTCGCTCCGCTGTTTCACCATGGTCTAATATAAATCTTAAAAATATCCAAATTTTAAATAAAAGAACATTGATTAAAAATCATTAACAAAATTTAAAAAATTAATTTTTATCGGAAAATCACTATTTTAATCCGATTTTTGCAGATAATCGAGGGCCACGAGATTTACCACGAAAAGCCGACCGGCAGTGACGATAAGAACAAAGGATTGTGGCGGAAGGGAATCTGCAAACTCGACGCCCTGATTACCACCTTTGAAATGGTCGTCACAGAAGTCGAATTTCTGCGAAAAATCAACTGGAGAGTCTGTGTCATCGATGAAGCACATCGACTCAAGAATAGAAACTGCAAACTGCTCACTGGTAGGCAGATTAACGAATCATACCCCGGGAAAGCAAAAAGCAAAAAACATATGGCGCGGCCGGGGTCGAACCCGGGTGGTTCGCCTGACACTCGTTCGAGTCTAAATCAGGCCTTCAATCGTTTAAAATTATTTAAAAATTTGGAATTGATGAAGTGGCAGGCAAGTTACGGATCCCGGTGCGAAAAAAACCAAAAAGCAAAAAGGGATCGACGGCGGAAGGAATCGAACCCGGGTCGTTTTCCTGACGTCAAAAAGTGTCTGAAGCATTTTTCTGACTTTAAAAAATCATTTTCTTAGCTGCAAATTGTTTGCTGGTAGCCAATTTACGGTACCCAGTAAAAAGCAAAAAGTTTGACCACGCCGGGAATCGAACCCGGGCCTCTCGCCTGATAGCCAAATGTCTTATCCCCTGCGCCATCCATCCCCATTATTTTCAGGTGGTTTATTGTCTCTCCGTATGGAGCATCGTGTCCTCCTCACCGGTACTCCACTGCAGAATAACGTTGAGGAGCTCTTCTCCCTTCTCAATTTCCTTCATCCCGAGAAATTCGGAAGTTCCGACGAGTTTCTTCGCGAGTTTGGCGAGTGCAAGACTGACGAACAGGTGCGTATTTTGATGGCGTAATCGATTGACTGCATGCCAGAATGGCCGTATTCAAACGAAAAAGTTTTTCAAAAAGTTCTGTTTTCCATCGGATAGCATTTCATCGCGTAATCGGTTCGGATTCGAGGAAAATTCCGGACTTCGCCAGCGTAATCGATTTGCCGGGTGCCAGAAAAGAGTCTCAAGAATTTTGGATCTCCACTGGCCCTTAAAATTATCCGAAAATCGCATTTTCATGACGTAAACGGTTGAATTTTTGTGTCGTAAGCGGTTTTACCTAGAATTTCGGCGCGTAATCGAATAGATTTGATGGCGTAATCAGATCAGTATACTCCCGCAAACGGATACTTGGAATTATCACAGAAAAATGCGATAATGCGAGAATTACCGTAGCGTAATCGAATAGCTGTTTATCCCTTTTTCATGGCGTAATCAATTGTGAAAATTTTCAGGTGACGCGCCTCCAAGAGATCCTGAAGCCAATGATGCTGCGCCGTTTGAAGGAAGATGTCGAGAAATCCCTGCAGCCAAGAGAAGAAGTCATCATTGAAGTACAATTGTCTGATGCCCAGAAGAAATATTATCGCGCCATTCTCGAGAGGAACTTCACACATTTATGCAAAGGTATATTTATGCGTAAAAAACGGGATGAATCGCGTAATCGGATAGCTTTTTCCGAGCGTAATCGATTGGCTGACCGCCAAAAGAAGGATTTATGCAAACTTTGGGCCCTCGATCGCTATAATTCCGGAATCAGGATCTTCATAGCGTAATCGGATAGATTTTCAAGCGCTTTCCTCAAGAATCTCGGCTAGCTTGCCATGGGATTTTAACTTCGTATTTTCTAATTGTTTTGTGGCAGCTTCAGGTGGTACCGCGCCCTCGCTGATGAATGTGATGATGGAATTGAGGAAATGCTGCAATCATCCATTTCTCATTCAAGGAGCCGAAGAACAGATCGTCGCTGAGGTATGGCGCTTTTACATGTCATAATCGATTGGCTGCATGCCAGATTGGCCATGTATTGACTTTTTGCATTTTTCTGCTCTTAATTTACAACTCGATTTTTATTGCGTAATCGAATGACCATTTTCATGCCGTAATCGAGTTTTGTCGGGTTGATCTCTTTTCTTCAATTAATTTTTAGGTCCGCCTCCTGCACCCGGAAATGGATGAGGATACGGCCCAAAGAAAGGCCCTTGTTGATGCTTCGGGAAAGATGGTGCTCATCGAGAAGCTGCTCCCCAAACTCAAATCTGATGGCCATCGAGTGTTGATATTCTCTCAAATGGTCAAAGTACTCGATCTCATCGAAGAATTCGTCTCCAATCATGGGTTGGTGGCTTTTAAAAGAGTCGGAAAGGCAAAAGGGAGATTCTCGAAAATTTCGAAATTTCCGTTTTTCACGACTTTGAGGCCCTATAAAATGATAATTCGGATAATTACAGTAGTTCTCAATATATTTTCTGGTAGAGCTGAATTTTCTCTTTCGAATAGTAGATAAAACCTAGCTACATTACCTCTAATCGCCAAGAACCATGCCCCGGAAAATCAAATATTTCAAATTCGCCTCATCTTCGGGGCCTCATAAAACGAGATTCCAGTAGGGTACTGTAGCTTGCTGTATACATTTAAATAGAGCTTTTTTGGTCTTTTGAATGGCATATTAAACATGGCTACTGTACTCCTAGTCGTTCAGAAAAACCACGCTCAAAATCGGAAACTTCGAATTTCTGCAACTTTGGGGGCTCATAAACTGAGTTTCCAGTGGGCTACGGTAGTTTACAGAATGCCATTCAAAAGAGCTCATTGCCCTCTTTCAAACCATATATAATACTTAGCTACAGTACTCCCCGCGTCCAGAGGACTGGCCCGGAAAAGTGGTTTTCGAAATTCTGAAAAATCATCGATTTTTCGCCGCACGCGCTTCAAATAAGTGCCGCATTCCCCAACAATTACTGCCAGACTGCCAACTGGCACGCAGTCTTTAAAATAAAATTGCGTTTATTCAATTACGCATGGATTTTTCAGATACCTCTACGAGCGGATCGACGGAAATGTGCGTGGAGATCTCCGCCAAGCGGCCATCGATCGATTCTCAAAGAAGGATTCGGATCGTTTTGTATTCCTTTTGTGTACTCGTGCCGGTGGATTGGGAATCAATTTGACGGCCGCTGATACCGTAATCATCTTCGATTCGGATTGGAATCCACAAAATGATCTCCAAGCACAAGCGAGATGTCATCGTATTGGACAACAGAAAAGTGTCAAGGTAGGCCGGCTAGCAGAGGCTTTTTGCGGAATTGTTTGTGGTTTTGGGTACACTGGCAGCCAATTTAATCAAATTCACAACAAAAACCGCCGAATTTCAAAATGCAAATTTTTTAGAAATTTTTGAAGGTATTTTTCGATTGGCTGCCTGGCAGTTTGCTAAAATTCGGTTTTAAAGTTTACTAAACTAGTTTTTAAATTTTTGATGGTTAGGTAGCTAAAATAGCAGCCAGTTTAACCAAATTTTACATAGAAATTTTTGCAAATAACGTTTTTGAAAATTAAACGAATTTTAGAAAACTGGCGATTGGCAGTTGGCTGGAATTTGCTCTGAAAAATTAATTTCTATGACGTTTTTAAATTGTTTTTTCTTGTTAGACGTAGTGGCAGTCAGTTAAATTAAAAAAAGACGTTTCTTAATATTTCCAGACAAATTTCAATTTTTCAGGTGTACCGGCTGATCACGGCGAACACGTACGAAAGGGAAATGTTCGACAAGGCATCCCTCAAATTGGGTCTCGACAAGGCTGTATTGCAATCGACGACTGTTATGGATAAGAAGGAACAGCTCACCAAGAAGGAGGTACGATTTTAAAGGGACCAGCAAGGCAAGAAAACGCAAAAATCAAAAAGTAAAAATAGATTTTACGGCCAATTTTTCTCGGAAATTTTGGCGCACTGTAGATGACTTACTGTAAAGTGTTTTTACTCAACTTGGAGTTCCGATTCGGGACCAAGCGCATCTTGTGCAGAATTTTTCGCTGATTCCGAATATGTTTTCCAAATTTGCTACGGACTTTTATTCTGAAAGTTATACGGCAATTCTAACCCTCGTTTTCACCAAAATGAAGGTATCGTTATAGTTTTCGATTTTCTTCATTATTTCAACGTCAAAATCGACTAGACGTTGGCCCGACAAGCATCCTACAGCTCAAAACAAGCATTTTAGCTAAAAAAGTGAGATTTTTATGCAAAAAGCAAAAGAAATGATGCAGGGCGGGGGTTCGAACCGCCGCCCTGCGCTTGGCAAGCGAGTACTTTGCCAATGCACCATGGTGCCAACTGGGTAGGGTGCTGTCAGAGGGTACTTCAGGGCCCCTGGGTCACATAGCCCCAAACAAGGAATAGTGGGCCAGCGTCTGAATTTTTGGCATTTTTCGGCCGAATCGTTACCAAAAATGATTTATTAAATAACGGTCCGTAGCAAATTTGGAAAACATATTCGGAATCAGCGAAAAATTCTGTACAAGGTGCACTTGGTCCCGAATCGAAACTCCAAGTTGAGTAAAAACACTTTACAGTTAGCTATGTCATTTTAAAGGACGGAATTTTACAGGGCCGCTCTATCAGTTCTGTACTACAGATCATATACGGTACACTCCCGTAGCCCAATGGATTCTCATTTTATACGGCTCCAAATATGAAAGAAATTGAAATATCCCAATTTTCCGAGCTATTTCTCTTGACGACTAGGGGTACAGTAGCCAAGTATAGTATGCCATTCGAAAGAGGGGGACAAGCTCGACCAAATAATATCTTGTAGACCACCGTAACCCACTGGAATAACGTTTTATAAGCTCCCAAAGATTCAAGAAACTCGAAATTTTCTCTTTTGCGCTCCATTTTTCTCAACGACTTTTGGTACTGTAGCTGTGTATTATCTACCAGTTAAAAGCCCAGAAAGAGCTCTAGCAAATGGTATACTGTAGGCTACCGTAGCCCAACGGAATCTGATCGTAAGAGGCCCCAAACATAGCAAAAAAATTGGCAGTAACGGACCGGAATACTGTATATTACTACTTTTTGATATTTTACGCGCCTAATTTTATAAACTGACTGCCAACTTAGCTGTCATAATCCCTTTAACCCCCTAAAACTATTTATTTTCAGATCGAAGAATTGCTGAAGAAGGGAGCATACGGCTCGATAATGGACGAATCATCGGAAGGATCGAAATTCTCTGAGGAAGATATCGAGACAATTCTCTCGCGAAGAGCCACTACAGTAACCCTTGAGGCCGGAGTGAAAGGGAGCACCTTCTCAAAGGCTTCTTTTGGATCATCAAATAACACCGAAGAGATCGATATTGATGACCCCAATTTCTGGAACAAGGTGGGTGACTAGCAGGGGTTTTTTGGGATAAATCGACGAACTGGCGACCAGATTGACGATCTACATCATTGGCTACAAATTTTGGGCAAAAAGCAAAAAGTTTGGCGGTCCCGGGAAGCGAACCCTGGTGGCTCGCCTGCTGCTCAAATTGGCTAGAACTTTAACTCTAAGCCTTGGTAAATCCCGCAAGGTAACAAAAATGGTAACTGCCAACCAGTTTACCGAATCCCAACGTAAAAACCAAAAAGCAAGAAATATTGCCGTGCCTGGGACTCGAACCCGGGTCGTTCACCTGATATCCAAATCACTTATCCACTTGGCCACGGTCACAATATTTATTTTCCCGTTTTCAGTGGGCCGAGAAGGCGAACGTCGACCTGGAGAAGGTGAGGGAGCGACAGAGCGGAAAGCAGCTCATCATCGCCGAGCCGAGGAACCGGAAGAAGAGGTATCGGGCTTATTTTCGTAGTGTAATCGTTTTTCAGTAATTTTTCATATCGTAATCGCTTGAAATATTAGTCCTTTTTCATAGCGTTTCCGAGACCCAAAATGAACGAGCGTAATCGATTGCCCGTTTCACGCCGTAACGAATTGCCTTCCAGATTCGAAGAAGACACCCTAAAAGAAGGCGAAGGATCAGGATCTGATGAATCAGAAATGGGAGCAAAAGGAAGAAGAGATCGAGCGCGAAAGAGAAGAAAAGGAGTGGAGGATGATGATGATGAATATGTCAGATATCGACCCGATGAATTGGCATTCAATAAGACCGACTACTTCAAGGTATCGTTTTTTTTCTAGCTAGATTTGGATTGTCTGGTAGCCAGCTGACTTGTCCGGGCCGTTAAAAATGTCTATTTATTGAAATTTTTGCAGGTTGAGAAGCTGATTGGGTCGTTTGGCTGGGGAAGATGGAAGCTGATCAAAGAACAAGGGGATGTTGATGTGAGTTCTCTCTTTGCGATTTTGCTCTTTCTCTCTCACCCCCTCTCTCTATCTCTGTCTCTCTCTCTCTCTCTCTCTCGTTCTTTCTTTCTTTTACCCTCTGCTTTTCAGGCGAACGAGACCGAACTTGAACACCTTGCCCGTACCCTAATCCTCCACAATCTTCGTGATTTCCGCGGTGATGAGCGGACAAAAGAATATGTCTATGCTGTCATCGAACCACTTGATGCTCGAAACTACAAACAAGACACCAGGAATAAGGTTGGTGGTGCTCAGAAAGTTGCAAAATCGGATCTTTGCAGCTAACTTCCGGTTGGGCGGCACTCCCCGAGTACAATCCACCGAATTTCGCCCTCGACGCCTCATTCCAACGGCATATCCACAGGTAACGGACGTTTAAAGGGACAATGACAGCTAGAAAATGGGCGGAGCTTCGCTAGAGGGGCAGTGACACGCAGAAAAATCGATAATTTCGTAAAAAAGCGGATTTCGCAGCTGCTGCTAGGGACGGTGACACCCGAAAAGGGGCGTGGCCTCACTAAAGGGGCAGTGACACTTAGAAAACCCGCTAACTTTTGCAAAAATCCAAATTTTGCGATTTTAAAGGGACAGTGGCAGCTCCAAAAATCGATAATTTCGCACAAAATCTAATTTTCTGGGTTTTAAAGGGGCGGTGACAGCAACTTTTTAACGTAAATATTCAACATTCTCCCTTTTCAGATACTCGAACAAACTGGTCTCCAAAGTGGAAATCATGCATTTCTTCTTCGAGGGAATTCTGAAAGATCGACGAGGAGACATTGAAGAGGGAAAGAAGGCAGAAGATATCGAAGTGACATTTGTGCCTCCATTGGAAGGAATGGCTATCGATGGATGGGATATCAATTGTGACAAATCTCTCATCATTGGATGTTATAAATACGGTAAGTGGGGGATGGCAGAGAGCACTTGGGAAATCGATAGAATGGCTGGCTGGCAGCTAAACTATTTTCAAAAGGGCAGGCTAGCAGAGACCATTTGAGGAAAATTATGGTCCAAAAGGCTCAAATCGGCTCGTTTGAAAATCGACTGCGATGTGTAAATCCGGACCACCAAGGGCCAAATGGCAGAGATCCTTTGGGGAATGGCTAGATCGGCAGACAGATAAACTATTTCCAAATGGGCTGGCTAGCAGAGACAATTTGCGGAAAATTTCTGGAAACACCTTCCAGCAGGGAATCGATTACGACTGGTAATCAAGACCTCAAGGGTCAACTAGCGGAGATTTTTGGGAAATCGATAGGCTGCCAGGCAGATGGACGATTGGGCAAACTGGGCAGGCTAGCAGAGGAAATTTTAGGAAAAAATTTCGAATCTTATGAAAATTTACCAAAAAAGTTTTGCAGGCATGGAAAATCCGGACGCGATGAAGGCGGATGAGACGCTGTGTTTCTTGGAAAAGGGATTCGAAACAATGCCGACAGCCAATGAGATCTATGCTCGATTGAGAAGAATTCAACAGAGAACAGCACAGGCTATTAGCGATGAAATTGCCGCGAAACAACCCACGAAATGGGCACGCAGGGAAGAAGTCGAATTTGTGAGGCTGATTGCCACGTTTCCCATCAAAGATTGGGATGTCGATATTACGGCGGTGGATTGGAGTGCTGTGAGGTAAGTAATTTTTATCGTTTAAAGGGTTCTTCTCTGTTTACGGGGGGGATTAACGAGAGAAATCAATTTTCCCGCATTAGGGAAACCGATTACGACAGGTAATTATCTAAAAAAGCCAGCCGGGCAGACATCTTTTGCGAAATGGGTAAATTGACCGGCAGATAAACGGAATTCGACACGGGCAGCCTAGCAAAGAGCATTTGCGGATAGTTTTCTCGATTTTCTCATGGAGGAAGCGATTACGACGGTTTAATCGTGGGGTTCGGGGCAATCTAGCAGGGATCTTGGGGGAAAGGATAGCCTTTTTTCCAGATAAAAAAAATGCGAAAGGGGCATGCTAGCAGAGACCATTTGGGAGCGAAAACACGGATCGGTACTGTAAAATCCTGCGTTTTCAGAAAGCGTTCCCCGATGTTCGACAAGAAGACCGACAGCGACCTGCAAGCCCACATGTTTGCCGTGTTGGCACAGTGCTTCAAGGTTTGCAATTCGCAATTCAGAAATTACATTTTTAAACAATTTCAAAGTCCAAAAAGTTTATGCTAATTTTTAGTAAAAAAAAATTGGGGGAGAATAAATAATTTTTTTTATAAATTTTTAGATTTAGCTAAAATTTAAGGAATTTGAATTCAATGTTTGCAATTTAATACTTGAGGAATCGATGTTAAAATACAACTTTTTAGGCAAAACAAATAACGATGAAAAATCGAAAAATAACGAAAAAATTAAACAAAAAAATTTTTCTGGTTTTCCACATTTATAATTTCCTCTTGCAATTTGAAAAATCAATTTTCAGGTTAACTGCCAGACAGGCGACCTTAATATCTCATTTTTCAGGCAAAAGGCGCAGCGACAGACATGCCACAAGCATTCGCAGCCGCGGCCCCAATGTCCGAAGATCTATTGAATAGCAATACAGCACAATCTATATTGGGAAGACTGCAACTATTGAAGAAGATCTCAATGGTCTGTGAAGGAGGAAGAGATGGGCTGGATGAAATGGACGAAAAGATTGGATTGTGTCCCAGAGATGGATTGCCAAGTGGATGGACTGAGGAGCATGACAAGGAATTGTTGATGGTAAGTGGAGAGGGAGGGAGGGGGCGAGAACGAGCAGAAATTATCGGGAAAACAGATGGACTGGGTGGCAGATAAGCTATTCCTGAAAGGGCATGCTAGCAGAGGGCATTTGCGGTAAATTAAGGCCCAATCGACTCAAAATCGCGTCTTTGAAAACCGATTACGACGTGTAATTTGAGTCTCAACTTGAGACTCTCAAGGATAAGACAGCAGGGATTTTTGGGGAAATTGATAGAATGGGTGGCAGATAAGATTTTCCAAAGACAGCAGGCTAGCAGAGGGCATTTGAGGAAAATTTTTCGCCAAAATGGCTCGAATCTGTCTTCTGGAAAATCGGTTACGACGGGTAAATCCGGACCACCAGGTCCCAGCTAGCAGAGATCATTTGGGGCATAGATGGACTGGGTTATTCCCAAGAGGGTAGGCTGGCAGAAACCGCTTGCGAAAAATTCTGGCCCAGTTATCTCAAGCCCCGCGCTAAAAATCGATCACTTCAGGAAAATCCGGATATTTTAAGCAGACTAGCAAAGATCACTGGAGAAATCGCTAGCCTGGTCGGCAGATAGATCAATGCAAAAAGGGCAGACTAGCAGAGACCATTTTCCCCACTCCTCACAACCCCATTTCCAATTTTGCAGGTAGCCAACGAGTACGGTATCAAGGATATCTCAGTGAATATCCTCGGGAAACCCCTCTTCCAAAAGATCATCCGCCCATCCGAATCTCTTCTATTTCGTCGCGTAATCGATTTGTCGGCCACGATGTTGACTGGCAAATATTCGCCGCAGGATCCACAGGAATATATGCTCGATGAATTGCAGGTGGGTGAGAAACAAGGTTTAATGGATTACGATAGCTAAAGAAACTCAAGCGATTATGACATCTTAAAGTCTGCATGCCAGTTTAGATTTTGTGACAAAAAGCTTCTAAAATCGCTTTTAAATACCTTTTAACTATACGATCGAAAAACTGCATGCCAGTTTAGCCAAATCCATTAGAATCAAACTGTCACGCTCCCTTTAAACGGCAGAACAGAACTGATCGCCATGTTAAAGAATGATAGCCAATTTGGCTATTTCCGCGAAAATGAATATCATTCCAAAGCCAAATCCATAAAAATCGGTCTGTCACGGTCCCTTTAGAACAATTTTGACTATTCGATTACGCTATGTTAAAAGATGCGTGCCAGCTTAGAAATTCAAAATTAGACAGTTTAGATATTTCGAAAATCCACCTGTCACTCCCCCTTTAAACGTTCTTAACCCTGAATTTGCCATTCGATTACGCCATCAAACCCTAAACCACGCCCCTTTTTCAGGAAGAAAAGCCACGCCCACAGGCAGCAGAAACAAGCCAACAACAACAGCAACAACAACAAATGCAACAAATGCTGGCGGCTCATTTATTGGGAGCAGCAGCTACGGCAGCTGGAACTCCATCAACCTCTGGAGGAGCAGGAGGACAACGAGCAGGAGGACAAAGTGGAGGACAGAGGAGCAGGAAGAGACCCGCCAAGGCTGCACAACAAGATGTGAGTGAGAGCAGAGAGCATTTGGGGAATTGGGGGAGGTATGGATTCTGGCAGGCTAGCAGGGACCATTTGGGGAATCGACCAACTGCCTGTCAGATAGACAAAATTTGGATTGAGGCAGGCTAGCTGTGGCCATTTGGGGAATCTTGAGCCGAGAAGCTAGGGATTGATAGCTTGGCATTCAGTTCGTCGATTTTCAAAAAGGCAGACTAGCAGATCCAATTTGCGAAATTTTTAATACAATTCCAAGCACCAGAAATCGATTACGACTGGGAATTCTGGCCACGAGGGCAAACTAGCAGAGATTATTTGGGGAATCGTGAGACTATCAGACAGTTAGTCGATTCCCGAAAAAAGGGCAAACTAGCAAAGACCATTTGCAACGGAGGATATCAAAATTACTGATTTTTTTCAGGCGGCAGCCGAGCTATTGGCGGAACAAATGCAGGCGGCAATGTTGCAACAATTGATGATGGCCACAGCACAAAGCGGAAGTGCACAGGGAGGCAATACAAAGGATGCCGCTGCTGCTCAGCAACTCCTTCTTCTATTGGCACTCACCCAGCAACAACAACAACAACAACAAACACAACAACAACAACAGCAACAGGTACGGGCGGAGGGGCAGGCTAGCAGGGATTATTTGACCCTAGCAGGGGTCATGGCGTTGAAATTCTCGTTAAAATAGCTTATCTGGCTGACAGTTAAGCCATTTCTCTACTCTCTCTCTCGCTCGCTCGCACTATCTCGCCCCGTGGGTTCGATCCCGCGCGCGGTTTTCGATTTTTTGCTTTTCAGAATTTCCAAAAGCCACCAAAAATGCAAAAATTTCAGGCTCAACAAACGGCACAACAACAACGCCAAGCGCAGAACGAGGCGAACCAACTGGCAGTGATTGGCGCATTGATGGCATGTACGAGTGGAGATGATATGGCTGCATTGACGGCACAACAGAAACAGGCACTCATGCTTATGATTCAACAGGTAAGGCGATTTTTCGTAGGTTGTAACGGTATACGCAGTTGTAGTCCGTAGTCTGGCTGTCAGGTTAGCAATTTCAGCTAAACCTGGACCGAAAATCCAAAAAAGGAAAAGTTTACAGCGGCCGGGGGTCGAACCCGGTTGATTTTCTTGGCAGTTTGTAGTCTGTAGGCATTTTGTAGGGTGTAATCTATAGTCTGACTACCAGTAAAAACCATTCCCATTCAAATCTGTGCCTAAAAACCAAAAAGCAAAACCTTGCCGCGCCGGGGACTCGAACTCCCTTCCTGTGATTGGCGAGCAAGAGCTTAACCAATCGGCCACGAAGAGTATGATTGCAAATTTTTAATTTCAGCAAGCCACCGCCCAGCAACAACAACCATCCACATCACAGACCACCCAACAACAACAACCCGCCCCCGCCAAGCAGACGCAACAAAAGGTGGGTCTAAAAATCGCAAATGATCTGCGCTAGCCTACCCTTTTGGGAATCGGTTAGCTGGCATCCAGGCTACAGATTCTGCAAATAACCTTTGCTAGCTTGCCAAAAACGGATTTTCAAGTCGTAATCGATTCTCTTGGCGGCAGATTGTATCCTGGCGGCAAGATTTCCACAGATTGTCTCTGCCGGTCGGCTCTCTGCGAATTCTATCAAACTGCCAGGCAGTGGCATTCCTCAAATGACCACTGCTACCCTGCCTTTAAATGGTTTTGAAAAACGGTGAAAAACCGAGCTTCTTCCAGGCCACTCCCTCGTCTTCAAAGCCGTCCACCTCGTCAGCTGCTTCCGCTTCAAAAGCCCAATCGGATGCGACAGCATTGGCTGCACTTGCTGCTGCTGCTAGCTATTCATCTGGGGATAATGCTGATATATTACTGCAACTGCAACAAGCACAATTGGCTGCTTATGGATTGACGATACAGGTCGGTGGAATGGGGCCGAGTTTGGGGAATAACTAGCAGTGATTTTTGGGGAATCGGTCAATTGAATGTCAGTTAGAAGATCAACAAGAGGGGGACATTTAGCAGCGATTATTTGAGAAAGTTGGAGCTCATTTTGTAAGACAACCGATTACTGCTGGTAAATGTCGCCTAGTCATGGCAATCTAGCCGAGATCTTTGGGGAATCAAGAGCCGGGACGACAGATAGGAGATCCCCCAAAAGAGGAAACCTAGCCGAGACCATTTGAGAAAGTTAGAGCCGATTCCATTAGAGAACCGATTACGAGGCTTTTATAGGGGGGTAGCGAAGGCAATCTAGCAGGGATCTTTCGGGAATGTGTTAACTGACTGTCAGATGGCAGGTATCCGAAGTGGGCAGACTGGCAGAGAGAGTTTGTCTTCTAAAACCCTTGAAAACCCACAAAAACTGCCGAAATCGCATCTTGGCCTGTGGCCAGAAAAACGAAAAAAGTAGGCGACCTAGCCAAGGTCATTTGCGGAACCGATAGACTGGATGGCAGTTTGCCAAAATCCAAACTGGCAGTCCAGCAGAGACCATTTGTCGACAGCCAACCGTTACGCAATGAAAACAGCCGATTTCAGGACTACGTTCTCCTCTCCCAAGTACCACAAGAGACAAAAGTCCCCTGTCGACACCGTACCACCTTGGAGATGTTGCCCGCTGATCAACAACCATCTGTCCAAAATCTCATCCAATTCCTCGACAAGAATCCACAGTATAAGGTGCGTTTAATGACGAGGGGACTGTCCGAAATAGCGGATTTTGGCCGGTTACGGTGTTGGTCTGTTAGCGGGGGGAAGGGATTTTAGCGGCAAGGGGTAATAAAAAAATAAGCCATTTTATAGCATTTTAGCTGTCTTGCAAATTGATGAATTTTTGGTAAAAATTGATGAAAAATGACCAGAAAGTCAAAATTTTTACAAGATTTTTTGATAACATTTTAGCAATCAAACACTTCTAAAAGCACCGGAAAAAATCATTCGTTATTAACAGGTGAACACGCGGTTAAAAAATTAGGTTTTCCCCTGTTAAAAGTCCCCCGCTAACAAACCAGTACCAAATCTGCTACCTTGCCGGTCCCTTTAAAGGCACAGTGCCTCTGGTATTTTGTTATTTTTACGGATCAAATTTTTTAGGTGGATCTCCGCGGCGAGTCAGCCTCAGCCACCCCACAAAGGAGCAAGACAGCAACACCGGCGGTCAGTTTTTTTTTAATTTTCTTGCGGCAACTAGCAGAGAGCATGGTGGAATCTGCCTTTTTCAGCAGTCGACCCCCCGGCCAGTGGCCACGCCCACTCCTGTCGCTACACCAAAACCGACAGCTGTTGAACAACAACAACCATCCACATCTGCTGAGGGACCACCCGAATTGAAGGTAGGCTGGCAGGGATCATTTGGGGAAAGTTCAGCGCGCCTCCAGTAAATGGACGCAAGGGATCGATTACGATGGGTAATCCGAGTATCAAGGGCAACCTAGCAGGGATCATTTGTGGAATAGATAGAATGCCTGGCAGGTAGACGATTCCCCAGCGGGCAGGCTAGCAGAGATCATTTGGGAAATTTTTTGGCATTTTTGGTATTTTTCTAACAAAATTTGGCAAAATCGTTTGAAAATCCAAATTTTTCAGGCGGAAGAGGTGAAGGAGGAAGAGCTGGAGCTGAACCTCGACTCCAAGACGGTCAATGGGACATCAGCAGAAGATCAGAAAGACATCAAAACCCCCGGCCCCTCATCAACAGCACCAACACCACAACCTGCCGCCACACCGACACCACAGGCGACGTCTTCAAGCAGTTCAGCGGCGGCGGCTAGTGCGGCGGCTGCAGCAGCGGCTCTTGCTCAGCAACAGGTACGTATTGGTCGTATTCTAAAGGAACTTGGCAGTCTAAAATCCATCAAAATCTCGATCTTCGTCAATGCCAAAATTCGATGATTTTGAAGAATTGCGCAAATTAAGGGCTACAAAATGGTATATAAAATGTCAAAAACCGACGATTCCTCTATATGTTAAATTCCTCAAAATTTTTCAACCATAATTTTAACAACATTTTTTGATTTTTGCAGGCGGCCCTGGCGGCGTTGGCGGCAGCTTCTGCGCCCTCTTCATCTACCTCGGCTCAACAACAGCAGCAACAACAGCAGCAAGCCCTAATGATCGCCCTAATGCAGGCGGCAGCTGTACAACAAATGCAACAACAACAGCAACAAGTACAGCAGGCACAGAGCAACAACTCCGCCTCCAATGCTGCCGCCAAATATCAACAGGAAATGCTGCAACAAGCCGCGCTAATACAGCAGACGATGCTGCTACAGGCTGCTGCTGCACAGGTTCGTATCTCTCGCTGTCTCTCTCTCTCTCTCTCTCTCTCCCTCTCTCTCTCTCTCTCTCTCTCTCTCTCTCTCTCTCTTTCGCTCCCACTCTCTCTCTCTCTAGGGTAAACTAGCAGAAATTTTTGTGGGTTAGCTAGCCTGGACGGCAGTTTGGTGAAATCCAAAAGGGCAGGCAAGCAGAGAAAATCTGAGGAATTTTGAGCCAGAAACTTTAGAACGGGGTCCCTAGGCAATCGATTACGAATGATAAATCCAAATATCTGGGGCAAACTAGTAGACTTTTTTGTGGAATAGGTAGTTTGGATGGCAATTTATTCAATTCCAAGAGGGGCAGGCTAGCAAAGACTATTTGAGGAATTATTGAGCTAAAAATCACGAAACGGTTCGGGCAATCGATTACGACCTCTAATCCCATCAATTTGCAGGGTTACTCTGGTATGAGCGGAATGCCCTCAACAAGTTCATCCAAACAACAGCAGCAGCAACAACAACAGTCGGCCGAAGAACAGGCGGTAAGTAGATGAACATCGAGACTTATAAGCCATCCATTCCTTCTAGCTGGCCGCCTACCAGACGATGGCGTTGCTCGGAGCTTTGAATGGGAATCAAGCAGCCGCCTCCGCTGCCTCCTCCAGTGCCGGTCAGTTTGATTGTACCAAGGAGTTCAAGACGTTTAGCCGCCTCTAGAGCTTCAAAATGACATATAAAAGCAGCCTGGCAGTGAGATTTGTGGAATTTTTTTGTTTAAAAATCGGGGATAGCTATATTGGCAGGCAGTTAGCCGCCTCACAAAAGAGCAGGCTAGCAGTGGTCATTTGCGGAAAACCTGAGCAAAATGTTGCTGAAAATAATTGCCTTTTTAGCCGCCCAACAACAACTTGCCGCAGCGCTGATGGCCGACCCATCGGCATTGGCCCTTCTCGCAGCCGCTCAGCAGCAGCAACAACAACAGCAGCAGCAGTCGAGCAGCAAACGGAGGAAGGAATAGCCTGAAAACTGCCCCCAATTAAAAGACACTCCCCTTTGGACATCTACTTTGATACCCGGTGCCAGTGCCCCGATCTCCCCCTCTAATCTATTAATTAATGCTCCCCTTTTCTACACGCCCTATAAAAATTGATCTCTCGATTTTATGCATCACATATTATTGTTCCTTCCCCTCTTTTCAATGCATTGTCAGTCATTATCATCAAATTGTGTGCAGCTATCGTCTCTTCTTCTCCTTTCCTTTTCAGGTATCGATATATCGGAGGGCAATCTCTTCAAAAAAACGTACCCTCCTAGCCCTCATTCCGAATACGGGACCCTCACCTCACATTCATTCTCCCTCTCCCCCGCCACCTGATCATCTACATTTTGTGATCGCCGCGAGTTATCCATCCATCCGTTTCGGCTTGACAATCGTGCTGCCCAGAGCTCGATCCCTGTCAAGCGGTAATGGCCACCATCACCCCCAAACTCGCTCTCAATTCACAAGCGATCCTCCAATAAAATAATATATTTAAAATTAGCTCATTTCTAACACGCGCGCACACAACACAAATAATGTACGTGTATTTATGTGTTATGCTTTACAGAGAGAAAGAAATGATACAACAATCTACGGGTAGTGATAATCGAACAACTTGTCATCTAGAAGAACAGAAAAAAGGGGACACGGGGGATACACTATAAATCGACGACTACAAGGCGAACAAACACAATTCGGAAGAAGAGAAGGGGGACACCAAGGTCGAGGAGATGGCTAGTTGTCGCATCGGAGACGGGCTGTCGCTTCAGCAACCAGTTAGATGGCCGACGCGATCGCTTCCTGAAAAACGGGATTTAGAAAAAGCTCACAGCGAAACATTCTCAAACGAAAATCATAATCAAAATTGTAAACGCACCCTGTACTTCTTGATCTTGGTGGCGATGGACAGGTCGACGTACTTGTCGCCAATGTTGAGGATCAGGCCGCCGATGATCGAGGGCTTCACCTAAAAGGAAACGTAAAATGAATGAAATTGGGGGCAAATGTACCTGGTAGGTGACGGTGACCTTCTGGCCCTTCTTCGTGAACTGGCTGAGCACGTCGTTGAGGGCGCCCTCGTTGCCCCGGTTCAGCGGCTCGGCGGTGGTCACCTGGAAACGAAGTAATCTTCAAGTAAGACCAAAATTAACCAAGTCAACAATGAGGAAGATCTCAAAACGCGCAAAACCCCTTACGCATTGTTACAAAACGCAATCTGGCTTTTAAAAAACCAGGAAAACTTCGGTAGGTTAGAAAAATCCATTAGGATGGTCAAATTTGTAAAACCCCGCCTACCGGGTACAGTTTTCAGCTTTTCGTGGCGGGACCCAGATCCTCTACAGGCGAAAAATCTACAGGGAGGGATTATTAAGACACAAAATGCAAAGAGCCGGCATTGTGACGGCTCTTCAAAGCATCAACGACAAGGCCAAGATACAAACAATTTCCAAATTTTTAGTGCGCCTTTTCCCCCGGGGCGGCTGCAGCGACAAGACAACGTATGCCTGCCGTTTACGAAAAGCTTTTTTTCTCTCCGGACGCTTTCTCGCAACCCATACAACGCAATTTATACCTGCACGAAGAGCTCTCCGCGGTGGGCGCGCATGATGGATTCGTACGAGGAGATGGCCGCCGACAGCTTGGAGAGACGACCATTCTCGGCGAGTAGGACTGAAAAGAAACAAATGAACGGAAAACAGCAGCCAAAGGCACCTAGGAAGTTGCCGGTCTCCTTGCAGGCTCCGAGCTTCTTGGCAATCTCGGCGATGGTCGCCTTCTTCTTGTTGGCCTTCAACGTCGGGTCACGGACGAAATCCTGGAAAGAAGAGATTGATAAACTGCAGCGAGTAAGCCGGAAATTTAGAAATTCGACGGCAGGATCGAGCAAAAGCACCGACTATTTACGAAAAATTTGGGTATAAATACGAGAAGACACGCATCGCTGCAGTAAAAATTAAATCGTGTTTGCCGCCCGCTGTCGCCGAATTTCTATAAAATTCAACTCAAAATTTATACCCGGAATTTCTCGTTCTCCTCGAGGATGCCCTTGACGGTCTGCAGATCGCGGTCGACCTGGTCGAGCTGGTTGCCCTTGTGCGCCGCCGAGTAGAGGGCCGACGCGTAGCGCCCCTCGATGCCGTGCGTCTGAAAACAAGCAAAATAAGCAAGTCTCGATCCAATACAAATCACGACTAGGTTTCCAAAACAGGAAACGGTAAGAGTCTAGAAACCCCCCAGCCGGCACCAACTTTTGTATCTCGGCCCCCTTTGTGCTAGCGAGCTCTAAAGTATACCAAAATGTTCGCCGTAAGCTAATTAGTAAGACTACATTGCAGTTCAGTCGAAAAAAGTAGGGAAAAATAAAATTAAGGAGGGTAGAAAAGTTGAAAAGTCGGCTGGGGGTTTCCTAGACTTGAGCCCAGGAAACCAAGCTGGCAACGCCGGCACAGCCCAAAAAAGCATTAGAAACACACCTGCACGGGCGCCTTGACCAAGTTGCTGCCGGCCCGGGCCACGGACGACATCGAGAGCGACCTCTTCAGCATTTGCGAGGCCATCCTGGAATGAGGGATTGATGAAAGTATGGAAAAGCAAAGCTCGAAAAGTCAAAAATGAAGAAATCCTCGAGCAGATAGAAGCAAAAAGATTATGCAATGGCCAGAATGTAAATTAGTGGCAATGAGTAGGGTATTAGGTCGCCTAGAAAGCTATTCTCCGCTTGAAAACAATTTATAGGGTCACAAGTTGAGAGATCGATCTTTTCGGGGAATTTGGAAAAGTTTGGGAATATGATAACCTTCTCGTCATAGAAATCGAGCAAAAAACACGCGATAAACGCTGCAAGGATTATAAAATCAGTGCTAACAAGTAGAATTTCTCAAGAACAAGCGAATAAGAAGCGCCCGGAAGCTAAAAATTAGCCCATTTTGGGAAGCTTGGGGATGTGAAAAAGAATTTCAAGCTTCGAAAGCGCTATGTCGCATCACAAACGCAAAGAAAGTGCCGACGCCAATTCAAATAGTAGGCAAAATAGAGGAGAGAAAGCTAAACTATGAATTTTGACGTATAAAACGTAACATAACTTCAAAGTAGAAAGTTTAGCGAAAGAATTGTTGAAAAAGCATAGAACCGCGGGGCGTTAGAGACGACGAATAGTGTCGTCACCCCAGTCGTACCCCCGCCGCTGCGGGACCCAATTTCGTAACCAAAGGCGAGCACGTGGGTCGACCATGGAGATTTCGTTTTCTCTGCCCCCTTTTCGCTAAATCTATCCTCTTTTTGACAATTTTCAACTTCTTTTCACGCCAATTTTACGAAAACCTCTTCCCCATCGCCAATTCCATCTTCCCGCCGCTTTGCCATGCTTCTCGTCTTTTTTCCGAGCTTTCACCACATTGCGCAATAACTTTCGCCATTCTCACGTGTGTGTGTGCCCTCTTGCTTTTCCTATATAACCTCCCACTTTTCCAGCTCGTCGCCCAGCTCGAATTGGAAGAAACATGCCGCTCGCCCGCGATCTGCTTCACCCCGACCCGGCCGAGGAACGCCAGCGGTAACTTTTTATCTTTTGGCCCTGGGCGCGCCCTTGTAGGTGTTGTGGCTTGTTGCCGTGTAGTTAGGCGTCCAAATTTTGTCAGGCCGTCACTTTGAAATTCGGAATGGCGCAGTTTTTTTTTATGAGTTGCGGTTAGGCGAATCTTTCAAGCGCTGTCAGCTTTAGCTAGTCAACTTTTTGACGCAGCAGGGTTCGGTCGCCACAGAAATACCAGCTCCTATTGACCTTGTAAAAGACCTATTTTTCAAACTCGGACTTTTCCGAAGCGGCGATCAATCGATTTGTAGGCTAGCGCGCAAATGCCGCAACTCAATAAGCCCGTATAGCCTGCCTAGTTATCGATCTGATGGGCATTCTCCTGGTCGAAATTATTCTTGACTGGGTTGTTAGCTTTGTGTATTGACATGTCCCGGTGCCGATTAATGAATACGCACACTGACATTTTAGTCTGGGCCGCAGCGTAGTTTCCGGGTAACTATGCTGCTGGCACTTTTGGTTTTGACTCCCCGTTTGACTTTCAGTTTAACCTACGCCAGTTACTGCAGGAACTGCGTTTTGCTTGCTTTTGACCAGTTTTTTTTTCTCGACGTTTCACGAAATAGTTTCTTGGGGCTGGGGGTCATCCTAGTTTTTCTACCCATTTTTAGCTGGATCTATCGCTTACCCTGACTTTGAATTATATTTTCCTTTTCAGACACAAGCTGAAGCGTCTCGTGCAACACCCGAACTCGTTCTTCATGGATGTCAAGTGCCCAGGCTGCTACAAGATTACCACCGTCTTCTCCCACGCCCAATCCGTCGTCGTTTGTGTCGGTTGCAACACCGTCTTGTGCCAGCCCACCGGAGGAAAGGCGCGCCTCACAGAAGGATGCTCGTTTAGGAAGAAGCAGCATTGATTGGGTTACGTTTTTTGTTATGATCGTTATAAATTGTTTCTACTATGTATTTGTGCATAAATTGTAAAACGAGCGCATCGTAGTCTTTGTCTGCAAGTACACGGACATGAGAGAAAGGATGGATTTGTGTACAGACAATTTCGGCTTCCGCTGTTGTTCGTCGTCTTGGTTCTTGGAAGATGGCGCCGGGAAAGGTGGTTCTGCTTCTTGGTGTTGAGTATTTGGAATAGAGTCGGCAGAAAGACAGCAAGATTGGCGATGTGGCAGTGAAAGATGAAGCTGCCCTCGCGTTGAGAAAGGTTGGCGCTTTGTGAGCCTGGCTTGCTGTGATAAACCAAAAAAGCGCCGAACGCACCTAATTTTCCATTCAGGACGGCTCGATCGAGATCCGCGTGCACGCGAAGCCGGGCGCTAAAGTGAGCAAAGTGACTGGTTGGTTTTACTTACTAACATTAGCTACTGTTATAATGTTTGTGCCTTCTAAAAAGATCTGTTTAGATGTGGGCGCCGAGCAGATAGGCGTGTCGATCGCCGCCCCACCACGCGACGGCGAGGCCAACGAGGAGCTGATCCGCCATCTTCGACAAGTGCTCGGCGTCGCGAAGAGCGAGATTAACTTTGATAAGGTGAATTTTCAGAGATTTATCGTTTTTCGGTATTTTCGTTTTTTTTTGGCGCTATCTCGGCATCCAATCCAAAGTAAAATCTTTGCTTCAGCACTTTCCCGGCGTAGTTTTTCGCGCCGGTTCCGAATAACGCTATCGCGAGCCATGAATTATTTTGGTCATTTAGGCTTACGGCATTCACCCAAAAAGGGGCTTGTAGTCAACGAGATAAATAAAAACCAGAAACCAACAACCACCGCAAAGACCGTCATTACGTCTTTGGGGGCAAAAACTTGACTTTCAAGGTTCGGGATAGTGTTTCGGAACAAGCGCACAGAAACACGCCTGAAAAAGTCGTTTTTACGCGGTTTCGGCTGGGGGCCCGGATTTTAGCGCGTTTTTTTAGGTGCTGTAACTTCCCATTTTCAGGGCGCCAAGTCTCGATCGAAGGTGATCGTCGTCTCCTCAAAGCAGCAGCTCACCATCGAGCAAGTCATCGAAAAGCTAAAGGCCGACGCCAATTGATTTTTTTACGGGTTTTTATTAATAAATTTATGAAAACTAAAGTTGATAGAGATAGTTAGAAAAATAGATTTGCTGATCTGCTGCCCTATTCGTCCTTTTCTGTGCCGGAAGTTGTTTACTGGGACGGACGCTTTTTGAACCTAAACAACCGAGAGGCGGCTGAGAGGGAGAGGATGAGAAAGGAGAGAGAAGTGAGAGAAAGAGAGACAGAGAGAAACAGCGAGAGAGAAAAAGCTGTGCACTCGGACGGTGGCCCGTTCTCTGGAAAGAGCTCAATTTTTTCCAACGATCGACGCGCGATTTTGGCTTGTTTTCCCTTGGATTTCCCCTTTTTTGAAGCCAAATTTGGCTCTGGAATTGAAATATGCAAAATACGGCATACTGTAGATGATTTGTCCTCATTTCTGGATTTTGGAAGCGTTTTGCGGGGATTTTTTCGAAACTTTTTTCGCTAAAACATCCCATTTTTCCAGAACCACATCCCGCCCGCATTGCCGATGCTTTTGCTCTCGCTATTGGCCGTGTATTTTCAGGTGAGTCGGGGGCGGTACTGGGCTGTTAGCGGGGGGCGGGCGGTGTTTTATCAAAAATTTTGGAAAATCACCAAAAAATTGTGAAAATTTTCGATGGTGAAAAGAAAAAAAAACTTTATACTTTCTAGGAATGAAAATCTACTGAAAACGCTATAAAAATACGTGATTTCTTATTAATATGTGGGTATCGGTGGGAAAAAAAACAAAAATTAGCTCCCCTCGCTCACAGTCCAGTTTACCTGCTCGCCCTCTATTTCCGTCCACTCTTCCCCTTTTTTCAGACGATCCCCTCGTCCGCAGCTGTAGATGATCAAGGATGTTCGGGGTGTTCGGCGTATCAATGTATCGAGAAAGAGGCTTCCTGTGGCCCCCGCGGCTACCCGATCGGCTTCGGCTGGCGGAATTGCCGTGTTTTTGAGGACCCCGGTGCGTCGGATTTCATTTTTAATCAATCAGCCGGCCGTCCCATGCGATAGAGCTGCGAATTGTTAACCCAAATCAACATTTAGAAAGGTGCCAAAAAGTTACTGTGACCGAAAAAATGGACTTAAAAATTGAAAATTTCAGAATTTTTTGCGAATTTTTGTCGGCTAGCCTAATCGCTCGCCACTTTCAAGGCGTGTATTCGGTTCCAAATTTTGCGCTCTATCGAATGGGATATATAAACGATCTGAAAATAATAAATCAGCCTTTTTGGTTACAGTAATCCGCTCGCGATTCACGCCGGCTGGCGTCGAATGGGCCAATTGTACGGCAAAATGTCTGATCGACGCCCTGCAACAATTCATTACGGTGCGTTATTTCCAATCGATTATGAAACATAATTCTAAGGGATTTTGAGGATTGATTCCCTAATTCGAGGGTACTTTTCCATTATCGGGGAGCCAAAACTTTTTTTAAGGATTCAATTTTTCTAATATAAATAGTGTGTTTGTAAGTCGTTTTTTGCGATTTCTAAACGCAAAATCTTTATAAATTTTTAGTAACAAAAATCAAAACATTTTTCGACGAAAACGGACGATTTTTGGCCGAAATCGCGACTTTTTCAAGCATTTTTGGAAGCTTTTAGATGGTTTTTCTAGTTTAAATTAGTTTTATTAGCTAAAAATACCATTAAAATGCTTTCTATTAAGTTTCCAGGATTTATAGAGCTATAAAAAAATCTCGCCCCCCCGATAACGCCAAAGAACCCGACTACTCCAAATTTTTCAACTAAAATCAAGGATTTTTCAGGCAGAACCGGGAGCGACGTGTGATCGTTTGAATTTGACGAAATGTTGCAAATTTTTTTTATTTCGTAGATACAAAAATATGGATTCTTCGGCCAAAATTTTACTTTTTCTGAATTTTTAGATGATTTTTCCACTTAAAATATAGTTAAATTTCACTAAAACATAATTAAAACCTAGGAATTTCTCGACTTATAGGATAGAAAGTCCCCCCCCCGATAATGCCAAAGAACCCGACTACTCCAAATTTTTCAACTAAAATTAAGGATTTTTCAGGCAGAACCGGGAGCGACGTGTGATCGTATCTCATCGCGTGCGTATTCCTCTCATGTTGGCTGCTATATCCAATGTGGATTCTGTTCAATATGTGCTGATAATAAATGGGCACTCGCCAGGGCATATAATTATGTGAGTTTTTCGGATTATAAGGGCTGGCTAGCAGAGATCGTTTGCGGAATCGGTATTCATAAACCCAGAAATTTCATAAATTTTAGGACAAAAATGCAAAATGCCACTTTTCCACCCAAAATGCCGAATTTTTGACCAAAATTTCGACTTTTAAACAAGTTTTTGGATAGTTTTTTTGTTGAAATATAGTCATACAGGGTGTCCCAAAAAAATCCCCCCCGAGCCGGCCGCAGACCTGTTCGATTTTTACGATTTAGGTATCTATCGAAAGCTCTCGGAAAGGCGAGTCCAGCACGTCTTTCCAATTCTCAAAATTTTGAATTTTTTTATAATTTACTAATGTTTTTTGCGAAACGCGCCGATTTTCTGATGTTTTTCTGACCAAGGCGTTTTTTACAAAAATCGCAATTTAAGAATTTTTATGCCTTTTCTGGCAGCCAAACGACAGCTTTTTGAAAGCCATTTGCGAAAACACAGCTTGGATAGCGCTTAAACCGGTTAAACTGCGTTTTGGACAAAAAGCGAGTCCTTTTTGCATGAAAAAGGCCGAAAATCGAGCAAAAAATTCCGACATTTTGGGAATTGGAAAGACGTGCTGGACTCGCCTTTCCGAGACCTTTCGATAGGTACCTAAATCGTAAAAATCGGACACGTCTGCGGCCGGCTAGGGGGGGGGGATTTTTTTGGGACACCCTGTAGTTACTAAAAACACTAATAAAATATTTCCTATTAAGCTACTAGGCATTTTTAGAAGATTTACAAAAAAATTGGTCCGTCGGATGGTGCGAAGGAACCGTAGATCCCGATTCCGGGGCAATCTAGCAGAGATCATTTGGGGAATCGGTAGCCTGGGTGGCAGATAGCTAGCATCCAAAGGGCAGCCTAGGAGAGACCATTTAGGAAATTCCAGGAACGCAAAACTCCCAAAAAATAAATTTTTTTGGAATTTTCCAACATAAAATAATTCCGTTCGATAAATTTCCGTGGGTTTTGAAGGGGGCAATCTGGCAGTGATCATTTGCCATAACCGATTACGCAATGTTTTTTTCAGGGTGATTTCTTCTCATTCCGTGCCCTCCAACAGATCTGGTCCATCGCAAAGGAATGCGGCCCTTTTGCCTGTTTTTGTAAGGGATAATTTTTATTGTTCGTTTTGTTTTTATAATTTATTTAAATGCGTTTTGCTTTTTATGCGCTGATTATTGCATTCATAATAATAATAAATCGATTATCATTTTGTTCGAACCATAAGAGGGTGGAATTTTCCGATTTTCCCGGGCGCTCCTCTTGACGATTGAGGGTACTGTAGCCGAGTATAGCACACCATTATTAAGAGTGAATCGGGCTCTACCAGATGGTATACTGTAAGCTACCGTAACCCTTCGGAATCTTGTTTTCTGGTACTCCAAAGATGAAAGAAATTCAAAATATTCCATTTCCCGGTGAGTTACTCTTGACGATTGAGGGTACTGTGGCCGAGTGTAGTATACCATTCGGAAAAGAAAATTGAGCTCTATTAAATGGTATATTGTAGGCTACCGTATCCCAGAATCTCATTTTATGAGGCCCGCAAAATGTTAGAAATTCGAAATTTTCCATTTTCCGGGACATTCCTCTTGACGCTTGGGGGTACTGTAGTGCTTTTTAATCTACCATTTTAAAGCGAAAATTTAGCTCTATCACCTAGTATACTTTTAGCTACCGTATCCTAGCGGAATCAGATTTTAGCGGCGTCTAAAAACCGGAAAAATTCAATTTTGAAAAAATTGTCAAATCCGAAGTTTTCTTGTTTTTACTACATAATAACATTTATTGAACGGCATATTCGGGTAAGATGGGCGAGGCTACAAAGTACAAGGCAAAATAATTAAAAGAAGCAAATAGTAAAAAAAACTGGTGGCGAGGATCACGGTATTGAGGATGAGGGGTTCGTCTCGAGAAAAGGCACTTTTTGGAATGGATATTGATGAGAGAGAGAGAGAGAGAGATAGACGGAGGGAAAGAGAGAGAGAGAGAGAGAGAGAGAGAGAGAGAGAGAGAGAGAGAGAGAAAAGAGAGAGGGCGAGATAACGAGAGAAATAGACAGGAAAATCCGGAATATTTGTACACAAAGACACGCAAAAAATTCGATTCTGGCGCAGGAATGGGGTTTTAAAGGCCCCGGCAAGTCCCGAGAAATTTCTTCTCGCCTTACTAGCAGCCATCCAACACAATAAAAGCTTTCTGAGGCTCACCGGGCCCTTCCAAAATTTTCAGGAAATGTTTTGAACTGGAAAAAGTGAGATGTGTGGGGTTTTTGAAGCTACATTCTTCAAATCTGCGGCTTCACTTCGACGGCCGGCTCGGGGGATGTCTCGTCTGAAAATGAGGAACATTATATCGGCATTAAGGTACAGTTCAGATTCTGTTGAAACCGTTCTTCTAAAGGGACCGGTAAGGCAAAAAAAGCGATTTTTGCTACCCGTCAATTCACTGGGGATTTTGGATCCAGCCGCGATACGCAACACACAAGACGATCGCTTGAGAACGATCGGGAGCTAGGCACATTCGATTCCGCTATGGAAACGCGGTCCGTGCGCGTCGCGTGACGCGGCTGCGGTAAAATCTTTAGGAATCCATAGCCGAAAAATCCATAACGATGCCTTGCGGGTATCTTTAAACGACTATAACGCCTTTTTCTACGATTTTCCGCTGTTTTGGCAACCAGCCAATTCCTCAAACATATTTGCTAGTTTCACCGCAGCCAACTTTCGGCCGGATCCTTAGAAACTCAGATTTTCCCACTTTTTCGCATTAAACCGGGACGATAAAAAATTCCAGAAGATGACACAGTCAGCTAGCTGTGGTTCTTTGCGGAAACCCTACAGAAAAGGCAAATTCCTCACCAGTTCCCTCGGTAAAATCGCTGAACGCCTCGTGGGAGTCGGCCCTTCGCCCCGATTCGATCGATCCCGAGCGCTGCGTTCGTCTTCTAAATTTTAACGGTTGTTTAGTCAGTGAATTCAGCCTATTTAGCTATCAAAATCACCCTAAAAAAATCAATTTTTGGGGCCGAAATTCGAATTTTAACTTGCACGGCCCTTTAAAACCGGCAAAAAATGCCAATTTTTGTGGTTTCCACTATTCTGGCAGCCGACCAATTCCCCAATGGTGTTTGCTAGTTTCTTTTTAGCTATATTTGCTTCAAAATTTCTAAAAAATCCAAAAAATGGAATTTGGCGGCACTTTGACTTGCCGGTTCCTTTAAAATGGCCATAAAATGAAAATTTTTGCATTTTCCACTATTCTGGCAACCTACTAAACCCCCGATAATCTTTGCTAGGTTCGTAGTTGCCGTTTTTCTTCAAAATATCTGAAAAATCCGAAAAAATGGAATTTTTCGTATTTTGACTTGCCGGTTCCTTTAAAAATGGTCTTAAAATCTAATTCGCATATTTTCCACTATACTGGTAACCGCCAAATTTCTCAATAATCTTTGCTAGTCTCCTAGTCGCCGTTTTTCTTCAAAATTTGTAAAAAAATAAAAAATTATTTTTTCGTATTTTGACTTTCCGACCCCTTTCAAAGACTTACCTGAAGAATCGTTGAATGGGTGTGGTGTGTAGATGAATATCTTCCGTTCGATTATATTCGAGAGATATTTGAGGCAATGCTTTTGCCCATCCAATTGATTGTACACCCGATTCCATCAACCAGCCAAGAATCTGACGACGCAGCGATGAGTGGTCTTCTCTGAAAAAAAGATGGGAATATAGGGCAACTGGCAGAGACCATTTAGGAAATCGGTAGGCTGGATGTCAGATAGCATATTTTTAAGCGGGCCTGCTAGCAGAGACAATTTGCGTAAAATTTGGCCAATTTCCCCCCAAAAAATATTCGATTACGACGGGTAAATCCAACTATTTAGAGCGATCTGGCTGAGTTCATTTGAGGAATATGTAAATTGTATGGCAGCCGAAAGAAGATTTGCGAAGGGGCAGGCAAGCGGAGACCATTTGTGGAAAATTATCGCTAATTCCTTCGAAAATTATCCGATTACGACGCGTAATTCCCATGCGGTCGGGGCAAACTAGCAGAGATCACTAGGGGAATGTATAGTGTGGATGCCAAATAGAAGATTCCCAGAGGGGCAGCCTAGCAGCGACAATTTGCGTAAAATTTGACCAATTTCCCCAAAAAAATATTCGATTACGACTGGTAATTCCAAATTTTAGGGCAACCTGGCAGAGATCATTTGCGGAACGGGTAAACTGGATGCCAGGTAGCAGATTTTCAAGTGGGTAAGCTAGCAGAGACTTTTCTGGAGCCTTAATAAATCGTTTCCCTTACCTATCGGTCCTATCATCCCTCGTGTAGAAGCACAATTCAATGCCCGGATACTTGGCGTGCAGCTTGTCGCGTAGGTCGCCATTCTGGAAAGCAACCATATAAAAAAATCACGATTCATGGCTTTTAAGGGAGAGCTGAAGGGTGTTACCTTGAACGAGGGGTCGAATCGTAGTCTCTCTGGTTCATCGAAGAGACATATTGGCTGCGAGAGGGCATCGATGATAGATTGTGTGTAGGGAGAGATGAGGGGGATGGCCATCGTGTAGTGAGAATACTGGAAATTGGAGGGCATTAAACATCAATTAAATGCCGTAATCGATTCATAATATCCGGATTTAGATCGCGTAATTGGATAGCGAGAGAGAGAGAGAGAGACGGAGAGAAAGAGAGAGAGGGAGAGACGGAGAGAAAGAGAGAAAGAGAGAGGGAGGGAGAGAGAGGGAGGGAGAGAAAAGAGAGCGAGAGAGAGAGAGAGAGAGAGCGAGAGAGCGAGAGAGACAGAGATGTAGATGGCTTACCGTACACCTTATCCGCAGCACATGCGTCATCTCTCCGTCGGGAACTTTCGAGAAATCGATCACTTCGCAATCCACACATTGCCACGGTTCCGACATTTCCGAGGGGGAGGGCGTTGACTGGAAAATAATGAATTTCCGGGGTAAAATGTTCTCTGCTAGCCTGCCCCAAAGCGGATTTCGGCTAATTTCCAGCCAGATAGTCAATTTTTGCCGTTTTAACGTAATTTTCGGAAAATTGACACTGCTAGCTTGCCCTTTTGTGAATCGCCTATCTGCCATCCAGACTACCCATTTCCAAAAAGACCTCTGCTAGGTTGCCCCGCCGATCTGGGTTTCGATGTCGTAATCGAATAGTTTTGAGAGATTTGGCTAAAACTTTCCGCAAATTGCCACTGCCCAAAGCCAAGCTTGGCTAATTGACAGCCAGGCAAGCCAGTTTTGCCGGTTTTATCGTAATTTTCCGCAAATTGTCTTTGCTGGCCTGCCCTCTTCGGATTCGCTCAATCTGCCACACATTCTACGAATTCCCCAAATGGCCTCTGCAATCTTGCCCTTCCTCCCGCTTCCACTCACCGAATGATTATCGCATGATATTTGATTGAGAAACCGTGCCAATCCCTCCTTCGAACTCGGCAACGGGTCCAGCTCGTTTGCCTGAAAACAAAATTACTGTGAAAATCTGGTTTTAAAGGGCCACGCAAGCCATTTTTGACGATTTTCTAGCCTTTTGGCAACCGGCCAATTTCTCTAAAAATTAAAAAAACGCTTAAAATGCACAATTTTTTATGTTTTTTTTTGTGGTAAAAATACGATATATTGAACGCTAAAAAAGCTAATCAACGTCCAATTTCAGCGTTGAAAATGGAATTCCCTATTTTCCCGCCGGGACGCTCGAAATCTGGGCATAAAAGGCTGATTCAGACGCGCGAAAATTATTTTTCGAACACGCGAAACGCCATTCTGGGCCCCAGATACCATTTTTAGGCCCCAAAAATTCCGCAAAGGGCCTCTGCTAGCCTATACTTTTGGATTTGACTCATCTGCCATCCACTCTACCCATTCCGCACATTGTCTCTGCCAGTCTGCCCATTTTTTCTGGATCAATCGAATCTAGTTTTTTCTAAGGCCAGACAAACGATTACGATTGGTAATTCAGGCAGCCAAGGCAAACTGGCAGAGATTATTTGGGGGAATGGGTAGAGTGAATGGCAGATAGGAGTTTTCCAAGGCGGCAGGCTAGCAGAGACAATTTGCGGAAAGGGGAATCGATTACGACTGCTAAATCCCGAAACTCTGTTTCTCAATTTTAATTTTGATGATCAGGGTTTTTGATGGTCGGATTTATTCAGGGCTACGCAACGCTCCAAACTACACACCGCCCAGCGCTACAGTACCTGCACTAGCGCTGAGGGTAGCCCGTCGGAACTTCCGCATGGTGATAGTGGCTGAGAGGCGGCGAGCTGCGAGGAGAGGAACGCCAGCGACAACTCCGAGGTGGGCAGCTAAAAAATAGATTTAGCGATTTATTTTGATGAACTGGCAGCCATTTTACATGATAGAAATATTTCCGAAACACTACGATACGACACGACGCAAAAAAAGACTAAAAATTACGAAAAAATCTAATTTTTCAATTTTTTTTTAAAAATTTAAATTTCCATTTTTCTCTCTTCTTTGTTTAAAAATCTTGAAACTTAAAAATAGAGTTAAATTATAGGCAAAACAGTATAAAAAACTTGTATTTTCTAGATAGAAAAGAATAAAAATAAACAATAAATTTTGGGTTTTTTAGCAAAAATTCAATTTTGAACTTAAAAAATACAGATAATTTTATCGGCTTTATCGATCGTTTCCAGCTAAACTGACAGCCATTTAACATGATAGAAATATTTCCGAAACACTACGATACGACACAACGTCAAGATTTGTCTTACGTTATCGCGATTTCACTTCAAAGCGCTAAATAAAAATACAATTAAAAATCCTATCCGGAATTTCTGAAAATAGAAAATTTCCGCAGGGCTACTCACAAATTGTAGGGTGTCTCGCTTGAGAAGAGGCTTATCCAAATCGGTGACCACTGGCTTCGGCCTTTTCCGCCTTTGATCTCCACTCTCACAGCTGTGCTCGTTGATATCATCCACTGAGACCTGCAAACGGGTAATATAGCAGAGATTCTTGGCGGAATTGGTAGACTGGATGGCAGTTAAGCGAAATTCGGGAGGGGAGGCTAGCAGAAAGCATTTGCGGAAAGTTCTGCCATCCCCCCCCTTGAGAACTCGTCTATTCGATTACGACTGGAAAACCTGGGAATTTCAGGCAAGCTAGCATGGATCTTTTGGGAATGGGTAGACTGGATGGCAGTTTGATGGAATTTCAGAGCGGGAGCAGGCTAGCAGAAAGCATTTGCCGAAAATTCTGGCCATGGTCAATTCTGACCGCTTCTTCGAGCGACTGAGCATTCGGTTATGACAGATAAATCCAGAACAACGGGCAAACTAGCAGAGACCTTTTAGGAATGGGTAGATTGAGTGGTAGTTAGAAGGAATCCAAAGCGAGCAAGCTAGCAGAGGGCATTTGCGGAATTTCAGACATTCCCCCCTTGGCCACCAGTCTATTCGATTACGACTGGAAAATCTAGGAATTTCCGGCAAGCTGGCAGGGATTGGTTAGGAATGGGTAATGTGGATGGCAGCTCGGCAAAATCCATTGTGGGCAGGCTAGCAGAGACCTTTTGAGGAAAAAATCGATCAAAACTTCAAGAGACTCGATTAGCCAAGCTCGATCCAGGAGAACGTGCAAGCTAGCAGGGATCTTTTAGGAATCGGTAGAATGGATGGCAGTTAGAAAGAATTCGAGGGCGGGGCGGGCTAGCAGAGAGCGTTTGCGGAAAATTCCGATCATTCCCTGCCCATTTGGTCGCCTGGGATCCTCCTCGATCAATCCTCGATCCTCTCCCCCTTCGATTACGCCAGATAAATCCGAAATTTTAAGGCGAGCTAGCAGGGATCATTTGCGGAATGGATAAGCTGGGCGGCAGATAGACGATTCCCAAAGAGGGAGGCTAGCAGAGACCATTTGAGACCCAAATCAGGTACGAACTCACCATAGCATCCTTATCATTTGGCACAATAACAGACATCTCATATCGACATCCAGATGATCGTTGGATATTACAGTAGTAGACGATTCTCGTCCCGTCCTTCATCTTGACCCTCCTCTTCTGCGACACGTTACGGCTCGCCAGAAGCTGAAAATCGGCAATTAACGTAGGTTTGGAAAGTTCGAAAATCCGAAAAATCCGATTTCTACAAGTTTTCCAAATTTTTTAAAATACTTTGAGATACCGTACATACTCGGCTCGCAGAAAATCAATTCAACTAGTGAGAATCCAAAAAAAGAAAATAAGGCTACTATAGAGATTTTCAAAAAAATCTTGAAAATTCGGAAATCCGAAGATCGTTTTGGAAAGCATATCTAAATTTTTCAACATTTCCCTTGTATTTCTCTTTAACGCAATTTCAATTCGCCCAAAGCTACCATATCCAAAAATGAATTTTTGCATTTTTTGGAAAAAATCAAGATTGCAAAAATTTTCTAGCAATTTCAGATTATTTTATTTTTTTTACTTTGGGATGCTGTACTGGCAGGCAGAAATCCGATTCGATTTTATTTTATTTATTTATTTTTTATTTGTTGGCTTTTCCGGCCCTTTAGAACAAAAAAGCCATGGAAAAAATCGGCGTACTGACCTCCATGGTGTCGTCGCGGCTGTACAGCCCCAAATGGTTCCACGCTTTCCGGTTGGCCATCCTGCAACAAAACGAGTACGGTAATATAAAGGAACCAGAAAATATAGGAAAGAACAGAATTAACGAAATTAAAGGACCACTGAAGCGAGAAAATCGGAGTCCAGAGTTCATCGAAAACCACTCTATTAACGTGTTTTTGCCAGGAATCGCCTCTGCTCGCTTGCCCTATTTGAAATTTCCGCTAACTGCCGATCAAGCCATCTATTCCCCAAAGGATTTCTGCTAGGTTGCCCGTTTCGGTGGATTGAGCATTTCGAAATGACAAATTCCAGGTATTTCGTACATTTTCGCATCTTTTCCACAAATGGTCTCTGCCAGGCTGCCTCATTGCAGATTCCTTTTAGCTGACTGTCAGTTTACCCATTCCCCAAATGATCTCTGCTAGCTAGCCCGAAAATTCCATTTTGGGCGGTCTTCCAAGGTGCGTAAAGGGCCACTTTGCATCTAAAATCTCTGCCGAAATTGGCACCGCTAGTTTGCCTAATTTCAGATTGCTTTTAGCTGGCAGTCAATTTACCCATTCCCCAAATGATCTCTGCCATATTGCCTCCGATTTACGTGTCATAATCGATTTCCCCCATTCCAAACTAGGCGGCCCCTTCCCGTGTCCCCCTAGGGCATTCTTTCATGGGGCCAGGGGGGTCCAATCAATCGATATTTGTGTGTGGTTGGTGGTGGGGGTAGATGGGCCCTCGGGGGCCACTCTCTTCCCTTCCCCCAACCCCCCGAAAGGCCGCCCATTGTCCTCCAATCCAACACAACCCCCGCGGCGAGCATACAAACCGACCGGGAAGGGGGGACTATGTGGCGATAGAAGGGCCACATAGCCGAGCCCATTTGCGGAAACGGTAGCCTGGATGGCAGATTGGTCTTTTATAAAGTTTGGCAGGCTACCAGAAACTTTTTACGGGAAAAAATGCTAAAAATCACTAAAATTCGTCATTCTCGACAAAATGAATAGGGCCAGCTAGCAGAGACCATTTGTGGAAACGGCACCCTTGATGGCAGATAGATCTTTGATAAATCCGGGCAATCTAGCAGAGACCAGTTGTGGAAAAAATCGAAAAAATCCCTGAAATGCGTCATTTTCGAAAGGCTCAGTGCACTAAAATGGGCGAGCTAGCAGAAATTCTTTGGGGAAGTGGTAGCCTGGATGACAGATTGATCATTCCTAAATGTGGGCAGGCTAGCAGAAACCATTTGTGGAAAATAATGCTATAACACTCTAAAATTCGTCATTTTTGGCAAAATCAATCCACCAAGTGGGACAGCTAACAGCGATCCTTTGCGGAAACTGTAGCCTGGATGGCATATTGATGCTTTATAGGATTAGGCAAGCTGGCAGGGACCGTTTGTGGAAATATCGATAAAAAACGACAAAAATACCGGAATTTAACGGCAAAAATCTGAATCCAAAAGGAGCAAGCTAGCAGAGATCATTTGGCGGAATACTAACTTGCATGGCAAATGGATAAATTCTAGAATTAGAAGACTAGCAGAGATCATTTGAGAAGCAAATCGAACCGAACCCCCAAAAAACCGAAATCGCAGATTGGCCAGCATCCAAAAACTTGAAAGGGGCAAGCTGGCAGAGGTTATTAGGGGTTTTAAAAATATGAGAAGCTGACTGATAAGATCAGCAATAATCAGCTAAATAATCCAAAGGGAGGCAGGTTAGCAGAGGGCAGAAGCCGAAAAGAGGGCGCGAAAAGGGCGTCACGCATCTGCCGACAGGGGCGTTGATATGGTGAGACGCCCCCTGGGGGTCAAGAGATCTTGATACCACACTAACGAGAGGCAAAAAGACCGGCTTTTCAGTTATCAAGTAAAAAAAGACAATTAATCGCCAAATTGACCCTCGGCAAGTGTAAAAGTCTGAAATCCAAAAAAGTGGGAACAAAAACCTAAAAAGCGCGTTAGAAATTGCCAACTTGGTCACAAAAACAGGGCAAGGCGGGCTAGCAGAGGTCCTTGGCGGAAAAAAACCCGAAAATGGACCGAGTGACTGGGCTTTTCTGTAGTTTTGGCTTTTTCACGGGCAATCTAGCCGAGACCACCTGCGGAATTGGTCGTTTCGAAGGCAGTTAGAAGGAAAAACACGAGCGGGCGGGCTAGCAGATGGGAAATTTGCGGATATTTTTGGACCCTATCAAACTGGCGCGGAATGCAGATTAGGTGAGGCCAAGGGCCAAGAGGGCCATGGGTGGCGAGGAGGGAGGCTAGCAGAGGCCATTGGCCCGAAATCCGGCAGAAGTGAAAATGTCGATTTTTATAATTTTTCCGGGCAATCTAGTAGCAATCACTTGCGGAATTGGTAGACTGGCTGGCAGTTCATAGGAAAACACAAGCGGGCGGGCCGGCTGGCAGAGGCAATTTGCGGAATCGGTGGACTAAAAGTGGTGTATGAGCTATCCGAGATCACTTGCGGAAGCGGTAGACTGGCTGGCAGTTGGAAAGAAAAACGGTATTAGGCAGGCTGGCACAGACAATTTGCGGAACTTTTTGGGCTGATCAAAAATGCGCGGGATGCAAATTAGGGGCCGGCCGGGGGCCGTGGGTGGCGGGGGAAGAAGTTTTGGGTGGTGGGGGCCGTGGTGTCGTGGAATGGAAGGGGCCATATGGGGGGCGGAGAATAGAGAGGCCAGAAGAGAGAGAGAGACAGCCAAAGAGAGACAGAGACAGAGGGCGATCGATTGAGAGGGGCCGCCGAGGGCCGAGTCGAGTCTCCGCCCATAATAGAAGAGAGAGTGGGGAAAGAGAGAGACGCAGATACAGAGAGGGAGGGCCCTTCAAATAAAAGAGAGAGGCAGAGGGGAAGTGGGCAATGTTTGGCCATGGGGGGGACGGAAGGGACTGTCGATCGGAATGAGGCGTACAGGGGAATGGAGGGGATGGGGGTGGGGGGCAGCAGGTCTAGGGGCCAATGGGCTCTGCTAGCATGCCCGAGGCCGTTTTTCTTCAAACTAACCATTCCGCGAATGATCTCTGCTATCTTGCCTCTGAAAAGCACAAAAAAATATGGAAAAAGCTAGAAGGTAAAATTCTAGTTTTTCCGAAATGACCTCTGCTAGCCTTCCCGGACTTGATTTTCAGCAAACTGGCACACAATTTACCGGCTCTCAAATAATCCGTGCTAGATCGCCCTCGCAAAACTGAAAAAGATTAAAAATCGGCAATTTTCATTTTTTTTTTGCTGAAATCCGGAGCAAATGGCCTTTGCCAGCCTGCCCGAAGCGGTTTTTTATCAAACTGCCATCCAGATTACCGATTCCGCAAATGGCCTCTGTCAAGGTAGCCCTGAAAAAAGCTATAAACCGACTGAAAAGGTTAGGCAATCAACCAAAATTCGAATTTCTTCCGCAAATGATAAATCCAAAAGACGAGATCGCCCGGGGGCAAAACTCAGCCTAAAACCCCCGAGTTTTGGCATTCGATTACGCGACGTAATTCGTAATTTGCGGAAAATCCGCAAAGCTCTCTGCTAGCATCCCTGCAGATCGAATAATCGAAATTTGCATAAATAGCCTCAGTATCCATGCGTAGAATGGTCATTTCCGATCAATTCCATTCCCCCAAAAAAGCCCGGAAAATGCGTGTATTTTCTACGGTATCCTCCTAGCAGTCGGTCTACCGTATCCCCCGAGAGTGTCTATTCCGTTCCACTCCATTCTCACGACACCACCGTAATGCCGCGTACGTTGGGTTCTGGACTGTTAGCGGAGGGGGGGGACTTTTTGCTTTTCCACCCACCTGTCGATGATTTATAATGTATTTTGGCTAAACTCCAGATAACCCCCCCCAGCCGACCCCCACCTACCGTATCTCGGCTCCCTGTTCATCTACAGGTGTGTAAAGTATACCAAAATACTCGCCCCAGCAAGACGAACATTTTGGTATACTTTACACACCTGTAGATGACCAGGGAGCCGAGATACAAAAGTTGGGTGCCGGCTGGGGGGGGTTATCTGGAGTCTTACCTGTATTTTATAGTGTTTTAGTAGTTTTTAATTTTTTGAAAATCACACAAAAATGTTTTTAAAAGTTTTGGAAACTCGAAAATTTTGGCCTTATTTTATTTCCTATGGTATTTATTGCTAAAAACTATTTCAAACAGATTTTTCGTTTCTTTTTTTCTGCAGATTTAGGGCTTGTAATCCCGTTAAATCCATCCTTTTTCTGTCGATTTCCGGCCCATTTTCAGAGCAAATCGATGCAACGGATCTGATCATCGGCTGTCTGTGCATCTACGTGCCGGTACAACATTTCTTCTACGACAAAAAAAGGAGGGGCAGCTAGCAGAGTTTCTATGCGGAATTTGGGCACCGGCTCGCCGAGTCTCCTAGGGAAAAGCTCGGCCGGGGGAAGGCAGGCTAGCAGAGATTCTTTGGGAAATTCAGGGCAGACTAGCAGAAATCATTGAGGAAAAACTAGGTTTCCTCGAGGGTAGGCTAGGAGAGACTTCCAGGGAAAAGCTGGGCCAAGTTCGGGAGGCTAGCAAAGACAATTCAGGAACCTCGTAGCCATCCGGGGGCAGGCTAGCAGAGATTCTTTCCGGAATTTGGGGACCAGCTCGCAGATAAAGTTGACCAAGATCGGGAGGCTAGCAGAGACCCCCTAGGGAAATTGAGGGCAGGCGAGCAGAGACGGTTTGTTCCTTTTGCAGCCAGCGGCCATCATCCTGCGCACCGGATGCAATGTGAACAATATTCACATTTGGCTGAATCTGTGTCTCTGGCTGTGCACCATCTTTTGTGGCAAGTCTCTCTTTGGCTGAACTCCAGATAACCCCCCAGCCGACCCCCACCTACCGTATCTCGGCTCCCTGTTCATCTACAGGCGTGTCAAGTATACCAAAATACTCGCCAGTCCAAGACGAACATTTTGGTATACTTTACACACCTGTAGATGAACAGGGAGCCGAGATACAGTAGGTGGGGGTAGTAGTCTTACCCTCTCTTTCCCTAATTCCCTCACATCTCGCCGAAAAGCAAAACTAATCGGCAGCGTCCGGGGGTCAAACTCGGGCCTTATGGGTGGCGGTGGCGACTACTACCAATTGGCCAAGAGGGTACTCTGGACGATGAAGAACTAAAAAAAAATAGAAAAAACCCGCGCATTCATTCTTGGCCAATTGGTAGTGGTCGCCACCGCCACCCACACGACCCGGGTTCGACCCCCGTCCCTGCGAAATTTTTTGCTTTTTGCTGGGAATCCCGGAAATCGGTGGTGTTTTAAAGGGGTGTTAAAGGGAACCGAAAATTGCGGTCAAATAAAAATGTCGAAAATTTTCTGGACTTCGAAATTTTTCGAGAAATAGTTAGTTTTTGCGTTTTTATTAAAATTTGTAGTTTTTCCGTTTAATCATATTAAAAAATGTTTAGAAAAGATACCTAAATTCTGAGAAAAAAATAATTCGAAATCTCCCCCCGCTAACAGTCCATTACCCAAATTTGACGAATTTCCGATTCTCGACGAGCCGACTTTCGAAAAACGCGCCTTTTTGCAGGTATCATCCACGCGTTCTGGTACTGTTTCCTGGGTCCGGGTGCGGGCCGTGGTCTCGCCCCCATTCCGACGTGAAGCTGCGCCCGCCACTCCAGTCACTACCATTAATGCCAAGAGAGCGAAAGAAATGTCTCGAAGAATTGCCGTGTCCCCCCCTGGCCCTCCGTTGCTCACGAATAAACCATTTCCTCTTATCGTAATTTGTTGCTCGGTTTTTTTTGTAGTTTGTAGTCGTCGAAAATCGGGCTATAAAAGGCTATAAAAGGGCTATAAAAGCTGACGGCTGCCCCGAAAAATGTGTCGTTTTTCCGAATGTTCCTATTTGGTTGATACCCGTCACATCAATAAGGCCGAGAAGTTCCGACTCAAGGGCCCGGGCCACCGTCTCGAATGTCGAGTGTATGTGCGTGCGTGCGTGCGTGCGTGCGTGCGTGCGTGCGTGCGTGCGTGCGTGCGTGCGTGCGTGGCAGGGGAAAGAAAAAGTCTGGAGATGGAAATCCGGAGACCAAAGAGTGAGGCGCCAAACTACAAACCGATAAAGTAAAAGAGGGATGGAGAGTGAGATAGAAAACGAAAGATGTGCCGGCAGGTTTCTTTGGCGCTCTTTGCCCTGAGGTTATAAATTTGATATTGACCTCAGCCCCACATCTGTCTGCTCTTCAATCGATCACTCATTTCAAAGAGCAATCCAATCCATTCCATTCATTTTACTCGATCACCTCACCAATCCGAACAGAAAATGATTTACTACGAACAAATTCGGTTTATTTGAAGCCAGTGGAAAAAGAGCGCTTCGCGGCCCTTTCCACTGGACACCGTCTAGGAACCAAGAATTCCCTTACCCCATTTTCAAGTCTGCGGCGCAGGAGCCTGACTCAAGGACCCATTCTTTGCCTTTGCCAGTCTTGCGCTAGAATCTTTGAGCCTGCGGCGCTAGCTACTGCTTTTTCTCCCCGGATTTAGCCTGCGGCGCCAGAGCCTGGGTTAAGTACCTTTTCTTTGGCCTGCGGCGCTAGAGCGAGAGCCAGGCCTAAATCGCGCACACGGAGAGCCTAGAAATATGTTTTGTTGCTGAACTACCAAAACGCAAAAAGTTAAATTTCTCGCGGATCCGAAACCCCAACGCCGTAGCCCCGGCCTTGATCCACTACACATCCAATCCAATACACACTCTTCATATCCTGGGGGCGGAAGCGAGCTGTGCTAAAAGGAATGGGCAGCCCCCCAGGACCTCCGACAGGCATGCCTTCAGGCCACTTACAAATTTCGAATTACTAAGAGAGATAGAGAGAGAGAGAGAGGGAGAGAGAGGGAGAGAGGGAGAGAGAGGGAGAGAGAGAGAGAGATAGGAAAATTACAAAAAGGAATGGGCAGCCCCCCAGGACCTCCGACAGGCATGCCTTCAGGCCACTTACAAATTTCGATTTTTTTTTTGGGTGGAAGCTGGTCGAACTTTGTGAAGAATAAGATGCGCATCATCCCCACCATTGCATACATAGGTGGTCAAAAATACAGGTCCAAATTCGCCATGTGAATTGAGTTAAGGCCCGGACACCTCGCTTATAGGATAGGATGCTGACATACATAGTGATCTTTGGCAAAGTTATCTTTTTTTTTCTGCTCAACCCGTATTCAGCATTCTGGCCTCTGGTAACGATGTTCCGATTCGTTTCCGTTCGTCAAATATTTTCACCCAAACTTCACTTTTTTGGCTCATCATGTATTCCAATTTTCTTGTTGAGCATATTGCTGACAAGGAGTCGTTTTTAGGTGCTTTTGGGGTTTCGGGACGGGACCTAGCTAGTTCGATAGAGAAAAAAATTCTGAGCAACATCCCGTTTTCAAAAAGTGCTGATCGATAAAGGAATTTTAGAAAATTTAATTTAATTGAAAATGTTCCCGGTATCCGGACCCTTGTGGTGATTTGAGGTGATTTGCGGCGGTCGACCGCCCCTGCCACATGGGGACTTCACGCGTCCTGGATCCCGTCCTAGGCATGGCCAAGTGGCTAGTGAGGTAAAAATTGTCAAAAAGTTGGTAGGCAAGCGCGCTACCAATACGCCACCTGTGATGGAGGCCGTGGCGGAAGGTTATGGAATGGCCCGAAAACGACGTGGACCGAGGAAATGGACCCGAAAACTAGAAAAAAAGCGCCAACCTTAAAATTAAATTTTCTAAAATTCCTTTATCGATCAGCACTTTTTGAAAATGGCATGTTGCTCATAATTTTTTTTCCTCTATCGAACTAGCTAGGTCCCGTCCAGAAACTCCAAAAGCCCCTAAAAGCGACTCCTTGTGAGTGACATCGATTGGTCACTAACCTCCAATATCAACGTGATTTGTTGAGATGGGCGGTGCTTCCACGAGCCGTTTTCGCGACTCGGACTGGCTGCCGGATCACTTTATTATCCCCGTCGAAAGGTAGCTTTTAACGATGTTTAGGTCGAATTTTTCCGCGCGGCAACCGACGATACCAACCCAAAGGACCTCGAAAAAGTCCAGCAAAGCCTAGAAAATCCGCAGAGTAGTTTTTAGCTAACATTCCTCTATATTGCCATCAGATTGCCAGTAGCATAATTGATCTCGGCGCAAATTTTCACAAAATTTTGATTTGGGTTTGCAAAACTAGTTTCCGACCGGACAACATTTTGACCGCTACTGTAAATAGGATCCTTACTCTCTTTGCCAATGGTTATCCTATGTGTACCGACAAAACCGTCTACTGAGCGAGTCTCTGGTCGAGTCTACTGGTCAACCCCCCCTCCTCCAATCAACGTTAATGAATTTAGGGAAGATGAAGCGCCCGCTCCGGGTCCACAACGACAATTTGCATATAGAAAGTTGGAATGGAGACTGCAACGTCTCGTGAATACTCATCTGAATTTCGAGGCAAGGGTACGACTACGGGCCGCTTCTAAGGTACGTTACGGTAGATGAGGCTATTTATTAGATAGAACACTCCAAAAGGGCACTCTAGCCGAGGTCATTAGCGAGAAAACGAATAAAAGTAGCTTGACTGACCGCCACTATCGAAACTCAATCCACAAAAATTGGTCAACTAGCAGAGAGCATTGGGGAAATATCTGCACCGCCGGGGCAGATTGGTGAAATCGGAGAAAGGCAGGCTAGCAGAGATCATTCTGGATGAAGAATCGAATCGATATTCGGGTTGCTTTCAGTTATTCTCGACGTCGGCATTCCCCAGCCAATCATTCTTCCTCGACGCCCTCTACGAATACATTCACGTTCAAGTGGAGGTTTGTAGGAACTTTATGTTGCCGGTAAGTTGGCCTATGGCCTATGTTTGGCCACAAATAGATAGAGTGAGAGAGAGAGAGAGAGAGAGAGAGAGAGAAACACGATTGCACCAAGTCTGAGCCTGTCATTGATTTTAGAGGCCCGGGATCTGGCTGTTTCCCGGCATCCGGATGACGATCGGCTGCCGCAGCCGACCGAATGTCCGCATAGAAATTGACGTGCAAAATGCGAATTTCGACATTATCAATCCCGATATGTCCGTGATGTAAGCCTGAAAAAGGGACCAGCCCTACAGGGTCTCTCAAAATTCTCCATCAGTATCTGGGGCGGTAGTATCTGGGGAGGGGGGGGGGAACTTTTTTTGCCCACATCTCAATTTTTCCTTTATCCTTTTTGCGAAAACGCGTATCTATTCAGCATATTTCCACCATAAAGTGTTTTGACATTGTTTTTAGCAAAATTTAAGCCTATTTGAATAGGAAAATTTTTCTTAAAAAATTTAGAATTTAGGATTCGAAAATTTGGTCGTTTTTTGGTCGAAAAACATAATTTTTCGACCTAAAATTAATTTTTTATTAAATTTTGTAAACTTTTATGCTTAGGAATAGCTATAAACAGTCTAGAAACAATTCCACCATTTATATAAAAAAAATCTAGGCTTCGGCGGAAAAAGTTCAGTTTTTCAGTTTTGAAAAATTGCGCACAAGTGGTGGTTGGTCCCGAAACGAAACTCCGAGTCGGAGTAAAAACACTTTACCGCGAAAGTTTTTTGCCCTTTGCTGCGGAAATGAACATGATAATTGCGCGGATAACGTCGAATGATACAGATTCGGTGCGGTGTCGGGACGGCAGCCTTCTCTGGGGTCGATACGTCTTCAATTGGCCGGGTAAGTGATTGGTGATTGGCTGTTAGTGGCATGCTCTGCCAATGCGGTTCAACAATTTAGGTTGAATCTTATGGTCATCCCAATCAAAAAAAGATGTGGGTGAGAAATGAAACGCAAAAATAACAAAAAAAAGAAAATGGATAACTCTAGGGGTGATGAGGGAGGGATGGCTCGGATTGGAATAATCGAGAGAATAACAAGGAATATGAAGACGAGACGTGTTTCTATTGATGTCCATCATAAATTATGCCCACCACAGATGGTCAGTTCTATCAGAAACCAGCCGATTACAGCCGCTTCGCGACTGCAATCGGCTGGACTTCGGGCCACCCTCCATATTCTACACCACCACATTTAATCCCTACCTTACGCTGATGCCTTCATGGCAATAACTACACTGATGGCTTCAGATACCTCCTCTAGCCAACCCCCCCACAAAAACATAGCTACCTTCCCGATGGCTTCAGATACCCCTCCGGGTCGAAATTCCGTTAAAAATCTACCAAAATACCTCCCTGATGGCTTCAGATATCCCCCATGGCTGAAATCCCCTTCAAAAACTACTTAGATACCTCCCTGATGGCTTCAGATACCCCCCATGGCTGAAATCCCCTTCAAAAACTACCTAAATCCCTTCCCGATGGCTTCAGATACCCCCCATGGCTGAAATCCCCTTCAAAAACTACCTAAATCCCTTCCCGATGGCTTCAGATACCCCCCATGGCTGAAATCCCCTTCAAAAACTACCTAAATCCCTTCCCGATGGCTTCAGATACCCCCCATGGCTGAAATCCCCTTCAAAAACTACCTAAATACCTTCCTGATGGCTTCAGATACCCCCCATGGCTGAAATCCCCTTCAAAAACTACCTAAATACCTTCCTGATGGCTTCAGATACCCCCCATGGCTGAAATCCCCTTCAAAAACTACCTAAATACCTCCCTGATGGCTTCAGATACCCCCCATGGCTGAAATCCCCTTCAAAAACTACTTAGATACCTCCCTGATGGCTTCAGATACCCCCCATGGCTGAAATCCCCTTCAAAAACTACCTAAATCCCTTCCCGATGGCTTCAGATACCCCCCATGGCTGAAATCCCCTTCAAAAACTACCTAAATCCCTTCCTGATGGCTTCAGATACCCCCCATGGCTGAAATCCCCTTCAAAAACTACCTAAATCCCTTCCCGATGGCTTCAGATACCCCCCATGGCTGAAATCCCCTTCAAAAACTACCTAAATACCTTCCTGATGGCTTCAGATACCCCCCATGGCTGAAATCCCTTCAAAAACTACCTAAATACCTTCCTGATGGCTTCAGATACCCCCATGGCTGAAATCCCCTTCAAAAACTACCTAAATACCTTCCCTGATGGCTTCAGATACCCCCCATGGCTGAAATCCCCTTCAAAAACTACTTAGATACCTCCCTGATGGCTTCAGATACCCCCCATGGCTGAAATCCCCTTCAAAAACTACTTAGATACCTCCCTGATGGCTTCAGATACCCCCCATGGCTGAAATCCCCTTCAAAAACTACCTAAATACCTTCCTGATGGCTTCAGATACCCCCATGGCTGAAATCCCCTTCAAAAACTACCTAAATACCTTCCTGATGGCTTCAGATACCCCCCATGGCTGAAATCCCTTCAAAAACTACCTAAATACCTTCCTGATGGCTTCAGATACCCCCCCATGGCTGAAATCCCCTTCAAAAACTACCTAAATACCTTCCTGATGGCTTCAGATACCCCCCATGGCTGAAATCCCTTCAAAAACTACCTAAATACCTTCCTGATGGCTTCAGATACCCCCATGGCTGAAATCCCCTTCAAAAACTACCTAAATACCTTCCTGATGGCTTCAGATACCCCCATGGCTGAAATCCCCTTCAAAAACTACCTAAATACCTCCCTGATGGCTTCAGATACCCCCCATGGCTGAAATCCCCTTCAAAAACTACTTAGATACCTCCCTGATGGCTTCAGATACCCCCCATGGCTGAAATCCCCTTCAAAAACTACTTAGATACCTCCCTGATGGCTTCAGATACCCCCCATGGCTGAAATCCCCTTCAAAAACTACCTAAATACCTTCCTGATGGCTTCAGATACCCCCATGGCTGAAATCCCCTTCAAAAACTACCTAAATACCTTCCTGATGGCTTCAGATACCCCCCATGGCTGAAATCCCTTCAAAAACTACCTAAATACCTTCCCTGATGGCTTCAGATACCCCCCATGGCTGAAATCCCCTTCAAAAACTACCTAAATACCTTCCTGATGGCTTCAGATACCCCCCATGGCTGAAATCCCCTTCAAAAACTACCTCAATACCTTCCTGATGGCTTCAGATACCCCCCATGGCTGAAATCCCCTTCAAAAACTACCTAAATACCTTCCTGATGGCTTCAGATACCCCCCATGGCTGAAATCCCCTTCAAAAACTACCTCAATACCTTCCTGATGGCTTTAGATACTTTAAATAATTTAAATAATTAATTAACATAATTAAAAAGTATTAAAAGTATTAAAGTAACTCAAAAAGGCATCTGGGCGCGCGAAGGGGCCTGGGGAAGAGGGGCGAAGAGAAAGGGGGCGTGGCCTCCCGGGGAGAGGGGCCCCCACTCGTTTTATTAAGGCGCCACTTTCAAAGTTAATTTTAATAATTTAAACTAAAACTTTTTCATAATTTTTTTATCAGTTTAGGGGTTTCTGACCACGCTCTATCCGAATCCGAAGAGAGCTAAGCTCTAGCTCCTTTCCCCTTCGAGTTGAATCCGGGACCGGACAGACACACAGACACCACAACTTTTTTATTATAGTTGATATTACACACTAGACCTCCCGAACCCCCTTTTACCCTCAAGGACCCCCATTTGACCCCCATGGCAACCCCCACCAAAACCCCCAACAGACACCCCTGCCAACCCCCAATGAACCCCCACTCGAACCCCCCATTCCAACCCCCATTGGGCAAAATTCTTGCTGTGTGTAAGTTTATGGTTTTAAGTTTTAAGAAGGTTTTAGCCTGTTTCAACTTTTTTTCAACCCCCTTTTCAACACCCCTGAAAACCCCCATTCAACACCCCGCCCAACCCCCACCCTACCCCCCTCGCAACCCCCCTAGGACCCCCATCCAACCCCCACAAGTATGGGGGTAAATGGGGGGTTCGGGAGGTCTATTACACACTATTCATTTAGACTATACCACCAGCTATTATTCAATTGAGGAATTCTCATCTCTTTCGACGCAACAATTTTGTTATTTATCCCGTATTTGGACCCGGGACGGCATTGGATGATGAGAGGTGGGTAGAAAGAGAGAGAGAGAGGGAGAGAGGGAGAGGGAGAGAGAGGGAGAGAGGGAGAGAGAGGGAGAGAGAGAGAGAGACTTATTCAACTGCAATCTCAGATATCTGAGGCTAGATTGTTGGATCCCTGATGGAACATCTCCCGGACAGGTATTATTCATCAACGTTGTTCGATTAGTTGCAGGCTCTTCTCTCTGTTGTCAAACTGACTCCAGAAGAATATTTGGACGTCTACACGGATGCATTCATCAAGGTCTCTCTCTCTCTCTCTCTCTGTCTCTCTCTGTCTCTCTCTCTCTGCCCCATTCTATCGTCCCTTTTCAGCTAATCGACTGCCCTCTCCTCCGTTTCTCTCATATCTATGAGAAAGAGACAGATTGTCTCCATTCTCTTCATTTCTTCCAACAATTCATCCATCACATCATTCAATCCGTAATTCTTTTCTATTCTACTTTCCATTCATTTCCTATAGGCTATTCCAAATGGAGAGGGACGTCGTCTTGTCATTCTCGATATCTACACTACCCAACAACTTCAACAGGTACAATATCAAATAAATGATCTCTGCTCGTTTGCCTGAATATCTTAATATTCGATCTGTCTGGCAGGCAGACTATACTCCATTCCACAAATGGTCTCTGCTAGTTTCCCCTTCTTCAGGAATCACTGAAATGTCTGTCTGATGAATATGAGATGATGATGGGACGATTGATCGAATGGATAGAGAACAACGCTAGGGGGCAGAGTATTCAGGTGAGAGAGAGAGAGAGAGAGAGAGGAGAGAGAGAGAGAGAGAGAGAGATAGAGAGAGACAGAGATAGGAAGAGAGAGAGAGAGAGAGAGAGAGAGAGAGAGAGAGAGAGAGAGAGAGAGAGAGAGAGAAGGAGAGAGATAAGGAGGGAGAGCCAGTGACCATCAATGTCTGTTCAGCTCTATCAAATCGGAACCGACCTTGGGGAGCGAGAGTCCGAACTTCTCGGCCGTATCTATCCGACGGGTATCAACGTCATCATTGCTCAGAATTACTCAGCGGAAAATCAGGTGATCACTCAGGTCATATCCAGGGTTGGTCATTCTGCGAGCCGGCTCTGAGCGGGAGCTGAGCGGGAGCGGGAGCCGAGCGGGAGCTGAAAATTTTCAGCTCCCGCTCAGCTCCAGCTCTTGAGCCGGCTCTTTTGGAAAAGAGCGGGAGCCGAACCCTGATCTACTCCACCGGATGCTGAAAATTAGTTATTTATGCAAATCTCCCAAAATTCCAAAAAAAATTGAGTATTTTTGGCCTTGCATTGCCTTATTTGCATAGATATCTGATTTGCAGGATCCGGTTTGAGTTGAGCGGGGTTCGGCTCCCGCTCTTTTCCAAAAGAGCCGGAGCTGAGCGGGAGCTGAAAATTTTCAGCTCCCGCTCCCGCTCTTGAGCGGGGCTCGCAAATCAGCTCCCGCTCCCAGCTCCCGCTCTTTTCGTGACCAACCCTGGTCATATCCATTTTTCGCGAAAAGTATGATCCCCCGCCCCCGCCCTGGACGCCCACCACACTGTAAGGCTAACGAAAAAGCTAGGCTTAAAGGGCTGGAGAAAGATGGGCCGGCGTCCGTCGGGGTGACGGACCGCCGCGGCGCTACCATCGACACTTTCCCTCGCGTAAGCGCCCCAAAACCCCCTCCCTCGTTTGAAGAAACCAGTTTATTGGCTATAACTTTTCATTTAGCAATGTTTTCAACTAAAAATTTCCTGAGGCCAAGGACTTGGTGATACGCATCGATGGTAAAAATTTGAGCTGGATTGGATAGAAGGCGGCCAAGTTCTGGGCGATTCGGGGTTTTGGGACACTGTTTTGGCTGAAAAAGAGGCGCATAGACAGCAAAACACCTCTGGAAAGGTGCGAATGTCCGTTCCGTTCTTTTGCTCGGGTTTTCTCTTTTTTCCTTTGTTTTCTTTATTTTTTTTTGGTTTTTGTTTTGCGGGGCCGGGTTGCCCGGCTTTGTGTCTTTGGGACCTATGGAGGGGTTGGGGTGGGGGCGGAGTATCCGTTTGTCTCCCCTTCTGTTTCTTTTGTCTGTTTTTTTTTTTTTTTTTCCCTTTTTCCCCCTTCCTTTGTTTTTTTTATGGGGGGGGGTCTTTTTGTAAAAAAAAATAAACAAAAACCATTTAATTTCCACCCATCTCCAGGAAGGTGTGGGGGGAGGAAACCCCGCCTGTTTTTTTGCACGGGGGGGGGCGCTTTTTCCCCTTTTTGGTATTTTTCTTTTTTTTTCCCTTCGTTTTTGCTTTGTGTTTGGAAAGAAAAGTTTGTGGTTACGGATTGACCCCTCCGCTCGGGGGGTCCGCCGGGGGGGCGGCGGGGACAATCCGACCAAGAGCGGGGGGGGGGGGCCCCCCGCCCTCTCCCTCTTTTTTTTGGTCGGTAAAATATAAGGGGCGGGGGGGGGGGCCCCCGGGGGACCACCCGGACAACAAAATCACCAACCCTGTTAGAAACCACTTGATTGTAGGTACCATGGGCTTTGAGCCACGAAGGAAGGACTCCGACGGCGCTGGGTATTCGACGACGGTACTACTAGTCTGATCCCCCACTTTCATTCATCCATTTCCATAATTTGCTATAAAGCCCAGTTGATATTCGATACTACTGCTTGAATTCATCAATCGGTAATTGCTGTTTTCCAGCGTTCTCATGGTGGGATTCTTCTACATTTTTGATGGTGCGGTTTAGGTTTTATAAAGGATGGGACGGGTTGGGGCTACAGGATGAGTCTTTTGGCGGTGGAGAAAACCCTTAATAACGGGCATCAGCAGGGTTGGTCACGAAAAGAGCGGGAGCTCGGAGCGGGAGCTGATTTACGAGCTCCGCTCAAGAGCGAGGCAGGAGCCGAAAATCCTTAGCTCTCGCTCAGCTCCGGCTCTTAGCCGGCTCTTTTGGAAAAGAGCGGGAGCCGAAACCCGCTCAACTCAAACCGGATCCTGCAAATCAGATATCTATGCAAATAAGGCAATGCAAGGCCAAAAATACTCAATTTTTTTGGAATTTTGGGAGATTTGCATAAATAACTAATTTTCAGCATCCGGTGGCGTAGAGCAGGGTTCGGCTCCCGCTCTTTTCCAAAAGAGCCGGCTCAAGACTGGAGCTGAGCGGGAGCTGAAAATTTTCAGCTCCCGCTCGGCTCCTGCTCCCGCTCAGCTCCGGCTCAGAGCCGGCTCGCAGAATGACCAACCCTGGGCATCAGTCACTTGACGATGTTGGAGGGTTCGAAGCCATAGTTGCAGCCCGAGCTTCACCGGAAAGGTCAGGCACGCTCCTTAAAGAGATACGCAAGGTATCGACTGAATATTTCACCAGCGGATTACAGTCGCGAAGCGGTTTTCGGCGAGATGGTTTTCGGCAAGTTGATTTTCGGCGAAATGATTTTCGGCGAGGTGGTCGGAATTCCTTCCTGATGGCTTCAGATAGCCCCCCCCCCCCATAGCCGAAAACCCCTTCAAAAATTACTTCGATACCCTTCCTGATGGCTTTAGGTACCTCCCTAGCCAAAACTCCAGAAAAAATTACTTCGATACCTTCCTGATGGCTTTAGGTACCTCCCCTAGCCTAAATCTCCTTAAAAAACAAAAATAACGACCGACCGGATACGTGGGAGCAAAAAAGCAATGAAATGGCTCCCGTGAAAATTTTCATCCACGAAACGCGCGCCACCTGGCTCACTATGTCCAAAATCACCCCAACCTCCGTCCCCCACCCCTTTTACTAAGGAAAAAACTTTCAAAGTTAATTTTAATAATTTAAAAACTTTTTCATAATTTTTTTTTATCAGTTTGGGGTTTCTGACGATGCTCTATCCGAGTCCGAAGAGATCTAATAAGGAATGGTTTTTTTCGAGTCATCCTGAAAATGGCTGAAGAGATAGCTCATTCGATAGAGAATTTAATTCTGAACAAGGTACATTTGTTCATTTTTGCAAAATGGCAATCCCCGATTTTACAGGGTGTGCAAAAAAGCCCACAGTTTGGGTCGAAATAACTCGCGAACGGTAGAGAATCGAAGGTACGTTACCATGTCAGAATGCTTAAATATGCTGGGTATGAAGATTTAACACAACTTGATTTTTTCGATTTTTGGCGACGTATCAGTACAAATGACACCCGAAAACTGGGCGTTCGGGGAAACTTCGCTTGTATTTTTCTCAGTTTCCTGTGGAGGCTGGCATCTAATTTTGATTAAGTAAGTTAATATCGGCAGCAGATATGCACCTACAAAATTTAAGAATTTTTGAGGGTCTGGTTGAAAAGTTAGAGAGGAATGAAATTTTGTATGGAGAAATTTCGTAAATTTGTAATATGGAAAACCTATGGCGAATACCTCAAAATCAGTTGTTGTGGAATACCTACGAGCCCATTACAATCGCATACAAATCTTATAAAAATTTTCGAGATCGACGAATTTTCGAGTTTTTCAACGACCCCCCTGGTAGGGTTGTTTCTCGGAACAGGCCGAGATTCGGAACATTCGGAACAGCAACCGTTCCGACTGTTCCGAATGTCGGAACGTTCCGAGATTCGCGTGTTCCGGCTGTTCCGAGATTCGGAACATTCCGAGATTCAAATGTTGCGATTGTTCCGAGATTCATATTGTTCCGACTGTTCCGAGATTCGGGACGTTCCGAGATTTGGCGGTTCCGACTGTTCCGAGATTCGGAACAGTCCGAGATTGAGCTGTTCCGAGATTCAAATGTTTCGCATGTAAATTTCCAAACACGACTGAATTTCGATTCGATTCGATCCCCAAATCGTTCTGATTTCCTTAATTTCCAGATTCGATATCTAACCATCGACGGAATTAAGTGTTCAGTTGCGCCCACACTGCCGTGTCACGGCAAAATCGAAACAGTTACATGCAATCTACACAATTTACACGAAATCGAAATTTACATGCGAAAAAATTTGAATCTCGGAACAGCTCAATCTCGGATTGTTCCGAATCTCGGAACAGCCGGAACAGCCAAATCTCGGAACGTTCCGAATCTCGGAACAGTCGGAACAATATGAATCTCGGAACAATCGCAACATTTGAATCTCGGAATGTTCCGAATCTCGGAACAGTCGGAACCGCCAAATCTCGGAACTTCCCGAATCTCGGAACAGTCGGAACAATATGAATCTCGGAACAATCGCAACATTTGAATCTCGGAATGTTCCGAATCTCGGAACAGCCGGAACACGCGAATCTCGGAACGTTCCGACCAGTCTTTGTTCCGAAAGTTCCGAATCTCGGTCTGTTCCGAGAAACAACCCTACCCCCTGGTCATGGATTTTTCGAGGCACGAAAGAGAGAGAGAGAGAGAGAGAGAGAGAGAGAGAGAGAGAGAGAAGAGAGAAAGATAGAAAGAGAGAGAGAGAGAGAGAGAGAGAGAGAGAGAGAGAGAGGGAGAGAGGGAGTGAGGGAGAGTGAGGGCTTATTTTCAAAATGTCGAAACTCATAATTTCGAAATTCATAATGTCGAAATTTGACATTGTCGCAATTTCATAATGTCGAAATTCAGAATGTCGAAATTTACGTAAGCTAAAATTCCCGGTAAAGTCCTGGAATTCTAGGCAAAAAATGTTGTCGTGAAATAACATAAAAAAAACAGAATGTGGAAAAAATTTTTTGGCTGGGTTTTGGCGGTTTCACCGGTAATATTAGCCTATGTAAATTTCGACATTCTGAAATTTCGACATTATGAGATTTCGACTATGGATTTCGACATTACGATTTTCGACATTATGAATTTCGACATTGTGATACCAAATCGAGAGAGAGAGAGGGAGAGAGAGAGAGAGAGAGAGAGAGAGAGGAGAGAGAGAGAGAGAGAGAAATCTACCTAATTGGTCGTTTCTGGAGCAATATATCCTGAGGTGATGTATTTGACCTGAACCCTCAGCCATTCCATCTGTCTGTCCTCCAATCAATCGTCTCTCATTTCAAAGCAATCAATCCATTCCTCCTCCTTTTCTTCATTATCCATTTCCATCAATTCCCTCAGAGCTATTCGTCACATAAACCAGCTGTAAAACATCAGCTAGTTTTTAACTATAGAACATTTGTTCAAGATTTCTGCCGTCGGCTAATAATGTCGTTTTCTCATCAAAAGTATTTTTCTCGCCGATTGAATTTTTTGATGAGATCATCACTTAGATATAAATTCCTAATGTCCGTCCGTCGGTCAGTTGCCATGTAATTTACAAGTTCAAAGCGCATGTAAAGTGGATGCAAATTGTGGCTCTATCTTTTTGATACTTGTGTTTTTGGCTATATTTGCTTGTCTTCATCATAAAAAGCTTAATAGCGATCTTAGAAAAATTTCGACTACACAGAAAGATGCGCCTTTTCAAGGGCTACAAGATGTCTATGCTTAGCTAGACATGAAAATACCGCGGCGCGAAGTTAAATGTCAAAAACCAAGTGGCTCTATCTTTTTGATACGCACTGTATCTTCATAGATGGAGAGTATTTCTTTCTTTCTCTCTCTCTCTCTCTCTCTCTCTCTCTCTCTCTGTCTCTCTCTATCTCTCTATCTTTTTCTCTCTCTCTCTCTCTCTCCGAAAATAAATCGCCAAAATATCGCAGCCTATCCTAGGTTCAATTGTTGAGATGGGCGGCGTCCGCCACAGCCGTTGCTACCGTTTCCACGAACCGGAAGAGTTGCCCGTACACCGTGCGGCCATAGAATTGTCGCTTTTTCTGGATTTGTTTCGAATGATTGGTATTCTGAATATCGGCAGTTTGAAGTTTAAAGACCCCCTGAAAAGGTGGCCAGGCGTCCGCAGGTAGTGCCGAGCAATAAAGGCGAAATGGCAAGGCAAGGCAAGGCGAAATGAAAGGCAGGCGAAATACGATGTAGGCGAGATAAAGTGTAGGCGAAATAAGATGTAGACGAGATAAGATGTAGGCGGAATGGGATGTAGGCGAGATGTAAATAGGCGGGATGAAATTAAATCCCTAAACCTATGTATCCATTCCTGCTTCCATTCCTGCTATCCGGGTGTACCGGGTGCATTTTACAAATTGCCCATTACGTAGCCCCCTTAAATTATGTAATAGCTTTTGAGCAACAGGGTAGGCAAGTTGTCTTTGGCGATCAGTGACACGTGCCGTTGTTTGTAAAAGATGTTTAGGAAAGATGCGGCGCCCACACCGGGTATACAACGACAATTCGCATATAGAATGTTGGATTGGAGACTGCAACGTCTCGTAAATACTCATCTGAATTTCGAGGCAAGGGTACGACTACGGGCCGCTTCAAAGGTACGTTACAGGAGACTACAGGGTGGCTGAAAAGTTCCCGCAAATTCTTGTATCAGGTCAATAGACGGAAAATTCCTAAAATTTGACTGAGGTAGAGCAACAGAAACTTTATTTATTAGGTAATCAACAAATTAGAACACAAAAATCCGCAAGAAATCTTCACAAATTCCACGCGTAGCTGAACAGAAGCGCGCAGGCAGCCGGGGCAATTGCCGACCATGGTCGCGCCCTCCCGGTGACCGAGGAGGCGTCAATGTTTTCGCTATAGAATCGAGCCGG